GCAAATGCAAGGCGCGCGTTGTGACTGTATACGAAAATGGCATTCAATCAGCCATCATTCGATGCAGTACGCACAACCACAGTCCATTCTAGAAAGAGATATATCCAAATATCTTGATTATGTAAAAAAAAATAAAGATTTGCCTATCAATCTTTCAGCCACATTGTGTTTTGTCATGTATTTCTTAAATGCCTTTTGATTTCTCACACACACACTTCTTGTATTGTTCTAATCAATCTTTGATGTTTTGCAGATGGAAAAGAACTTCACATAATCCTAAATGAAGAGGATCGTCATCCTGTCAGCTTTGTCACTGGCCAACGAGGATCAACTCTACTCATATTAGATGATTTTACCTTTGTGAAGAATCGTGTCTCGAAAAATAAAACTTACTGGATCTGCTCACGAAAGGTACAATCGATATTCACAGGACTTTCGGCATTTTCACTAACACATCTTGCTGTTTTTCTTCTCTCTTTTTCAGGGAAGTTCACTGTGTCGTGCAAGAGCAGTTACGATTAAGAATCAAGGAGAGGAGATCCTGATTTCAAGAACCAAATTCCACAATCATGTGCCTGTTTACAAGGCAAAGATGGAGCACTAGAGAGAGAGATCGTTATGTTGTGTAGTTGATAAATCATGAAATCAAAAGACTCACAATCTAAACCACTTTAAAAAACCTTCGGACTCTCGTGTCAATCCACTATAATTACTAATAGTTATTGCTTGGTACAATTACATTAAAAGAAGAAAGAAAAATGCGAAAATAAAAGCGCCCGAATTGAACAATATTTTTATTAAAGTAATTTCAATTGATGTTGCTGTGAATTTAGACTATATTTTCCCCCTAACTAACATTGTTTTTTCTTCCTTTGTATATTTTTTAGATGTCGAATTTATCGATATGAAGATGGCGGGAATGGATTATGAGAAGTGGAAGAATCGGAGGAAGACGGGCAAGAAGGACACCACGATGGAGACGGTGGCATACAAAATAACATACCAAGAGTCTGGCAGAGGCAATCATTTGCTCATTCACGAGGGGCATCGCTATATTCGCAACAATTGTCATGGCAATAAGATCTACTGGAAGTGTACAAAGTGGCACACTGGCTGCAAAGCCAGAGCCATAACTAAAGTGCATGATTCTGAAGTGTGTCGATTGAAGAACATTCACAATCATCCGATTATAATTTCCAACGTCTAATTGAGAGAGAACTATAGTATAAGGCAAAAAATAGTATAAGACAGAAGGTCTCAGTTGTGAGCGTTTAATAAAAGAAAAGAATACGCTGTATGATGACAGTGAAATTATCCTTCTATTGCACATTTTTTTTTGGTTCTCAGCATTGTTGTTTTCTCTCTTGTGCACAATATTGTTTAATTATTCTAATTGAATTCTTTCATATCTTGCAGATATTTACTCGGCCAGATCTTTCCATGGGAATCCACTGATTGGACACGGATATCGTTATGTGATCAGTTCCAGAAGTTCCAACAAAATTTATTACAAGTGCGCGTCTTTCCGCAAAGGATGCCGAGCCCGTGGAATATATGATATTCGCGATGACAAATATTCCTTTATCAAATATCACAATCACGCAAAAATATAATTAAAGTAATCATTCTGAACTGAAATTTCACGTAAATTACCATGTCGTTCTTTTTACTCTGTAGGTTTAGAGAGAAAGCAAAAAAAAAACAACATTTTGACTTTTCCTCTTGTTTCTACACACTTTTTTTTCTAATATCACTTCATTTTTTTTATCATTTCTTTTAGATATCAAAATAGAATACGTGCCGTCGAAGCACAAGGGACGCCTCTTGCTGATGTGCAATGGCATTCGATTCTTTCGCAATCGCAAGCGAGGACCGAAGCAGTACTGGAAGTGTAGTCAATACTACAAGTACAAGTGTCCGTCTGTTATTATTGTAAATGAAATGTCGAAGAATGGAAAACTGATGTACGATCACAATCATTCCACAGTGGGAAATATGTTATGAGGCGAATGGCTTCAAATGACTTCAATTTCTAAAGAAACTTTTCATGATACAAAATATATTCATCTAAAATTTGCGTTTATTATTTTCTTCCTACAAAATAGTTATCTTATTAAGATTCCACAATGCTTATCTTTTTTGCTAATACAAATTCTTCTTGTATTTCCTCAGGTGATCTTGATGTGGTTTTCACTAAATCCTCACGAGGTCGACCAGCGATAGTTGTGAATGGGATAAAATACTTAGTGATGACGGATTCACCGGAGAAAACTCTGTGGCGTTGCAGTTACATGGCATCGAAGAAGCTGAAGTGTCCTGCTCGAGTGCTCATGCTGAAGACAGAACCCTCAACCTTCGTCTACATTCGCAGATTGCACAAACATGCTCCGCTGAAGCGGGAGCGAATAGATGAATTTGAATATGCGAGCACCACCACTAAATACTAGTTGTGTTGACACAAAGCTGCTCCTCATTTTGCCTTTAACTGAAGAAGAAGAAACCTAATAAAAGTGTATTGATTGTCTTTTCCAATTTATCGCTCATTGTGTGTTATAAACAATTGTAAATAATTTCTCCATAAGCATTTTCTTTTCCTATATTATTTTCTCTAACATGTGTTTGCTTTTCTTTTTTCAGATTTCGATCCCGATTCAGACATAGTGTTCATACGCAGTCAGAAGGGAAAGATCCACTTGGAGTACAATGGATATTGCTACTTGCCGGAGAAGGTGACGAAAGGCAACAAGACATACTGGAGATGTGTCGAGTATACGACAAAGTACAAGTGCCGCAGTCGTCTGCACACCATCGTTGACAACAACACGCGCCAAATTACCAAGTGCTCCTCACATAATCACGGAAAATTCCTGAAATTGTCAAAGACCAAAAAGATTCAGCCTGACTTGGGCATTTAAATTCACCGACGGATTCACAAAATGAATGAATTTTTCATTAAATAAAAGAAACTTTTGCTCAAATTAGTTCACAAGCGAGCATTATTCATAGAATATTGCCTTGTAGATAAGAATATGAAATTTGTAATGAACATTTTTGCTAACATTGTCCATCTTATTCTTCTCTTTTCAGACACAGATTTCTCCACATTTCTGTACTATGTTAAGACACAGCGAGGACGTGATATGTTAGTTCACGATGGCTACAAATATGTGTCCAATCGTGAGAGTTCCAAACACGTTTTCTGGCGATGTTCGCGCTATGTGAAGTATCAATGTCGGGCAACTGTTGTGACTTCGAAGAATGTTGATGCGCCATCAATTAGAATATCTGGACCGTATCACACACATGAGCCAGAGATGCGAAAGGACATGCAGTGCATTCCTGTGAAGGACCAGGAGAAGAAATTGACGACATAGAGAAAATTAAGGATGTGCACAGGATTGAAAGTGAACTAATGCGAACTTTTTTTGGCCAAATAATCTTACAGATATGGTGTAGATTTGGATAGATATAAGAGAAGATGGCGCGATATTCTTAACCTTAAGACAGATTCTTGAGAAAAATAATTGTTCTCTTTTAACATGATGCTGTAATAATGGACAAGCAACAATATTCTCGCAACGTTAAAAACATTTTTTCATGTAACCTCAGACACAGACTAATGTTAGAAATAGATAAATGCAAGTATAGAAAAAGAATTTGAATAGAACTACTTCTGATTTTTATTTATGAGTTGAATTTTTAGTTGTTAAGATGTTTTATCATTCAACTAACATTTTCTGTCTTATCCTTGCAGGTCCTTATAATCGTGCCGTCTTTGGATTTTCTCAGCGAGGATCTCGTGTGCTGATCGCCAATAAATATCGCTATGTGAGAGATAAGAAATTTCTGGACTCCATCAATTGGCGATGCAGTCAATTCCGCAAGAATGGTTGCAAAGCTCGCGCAATTACGAAAATATTACAGGGCGTGGAAGTGGCAAAATTGTCTCGTATAACACACAATCATCCCCCAGAGAAATAAATTTATAAAGCACACGAAATTGTACTACAATAAAATAAGAGATGGCAAGAGAATTCACACTGTAGCTTAGAAATCTATCCGACTTTAGCTGATGATTTACGGTGATTGCTGAATATTTTCTTCACTAACATGCCTCATTTTTTCTTTATATTGCAGATGATAAATCAGCTATAATATATGTACCATCAAAGCGCGGGACGAATTTGATACTTTACGACGGAAATACATACACACCAAATGATAAATTGCAACCAGGACATCTTTCGCGCAGTTGGAAGTGCTCACAATACTATCGGCAGAAGTGCAAAGCAAGAATTGTGACGAAGAATAACAAGATCAGAGTGGCTGTTCCTATTCACACTCACGATCCCATGTTTCCAGGACAACTCAAATATGAATATCTTAAGACATTTTAGTCCACTGTTCGTTCTTTTTGGGTTTTCCAACAATTATTTCACTTGTGAAATTCAGTTTCGACAAATTTATCAATTTATTTGTGTCCGAAAGTAAATAAACTGATTTATAATTCAACACTTAAGAGTGGGTTTTGGGTTGAAATATGTATTTATTGTATTATTTTCTGTGCTTTTCTTTCTAATTCGATATTTTTCTTTTTAGATTTGACGCCTTCAAAAGCGAGACTGACAAATAAATGGCAAAATACACTTGAATCCAAAGGAAGCATAAAAGATATTTGTGATAAAATTGTGCTCATAATTTCTTTTAGGTTGAACAATTAATGCTCAATTAAGATAAGAAAGAGCAGCACTATTTTTTCAAGTAAAGAAAAAGAATGAAACAAGGATCATCGTGTGTCTGAAACTTTTTATTTTGGAGGAATCGTTATTTTTAATGTTTTTTCTTTGATCAATCAGTCACTCCATAAAAAAGACTTAAATAAATATATGTGTTTATAGTGGTGCAATCTTTCTCGATATAATGTAAATCCCATTTATTGCACTTTGATTTGTCTACATACTAACATTACTTTCTTTTCTTGTTCTCTTTCCCTAACTTAGACTTCAAATTTGACCCGAAAGCTGACACTGAGGAAATCCACTTTGCGCGCAGCATGAAAGGACGTCCCAGGTTAATCCTCAAGGGCTACTCGTACTTCAGGAACAATGGCAACGACGAGAGAACCTATTGGCTGTGCTCAAGGAATCGCTATCACAAGTGCAAAGCCCGTGTTATCACGTCTGCCAACTATCGTGAGATTATTCTAAAGAATCAGGTTCACAATCACGAACCAGATCCACAAATTATGAACAATAGAGATGGATTCTATGTGAATGACGTGTAGATTGACTTACACGAACAGAGAGATGATAATTTTTACGATTCTTTATCTAAATTACAAATGAGAAGAAAATATATTTCGGTAGAGTGTAATCTTCAAAATAAAACTGCAGTTGAATTTTAACATTATAATCCCTTTTCTCAGACAGTATTTCCTGTGCAGATTTGGAGATTGTTTTCTTCTCTCCTTTCAAATCCATCTCTAACGTGATTTATTTTCTTATTTCAGATTCAATTAAGAAATTCAAATTTGTGAAGCATCTCACTTTTGTGTCTGGCCAGCGAAATTGCCCAAAGTTGGTGGTCGATGGCTATTCTTTCGTGCGGAATAAAGGCAATTACAAGTGCACATACTGGCGGTGCTCTATGATGCGCTCCAAAGTGTGTCCAGCCAAAGTTGTCACGTACACAGACAGCAATAAGATCTACATGAGAAATGACAATCACACACATGAGCCGGATTGCAGTGATTTCAAGGGAGACGACGAGGAGGAGGATGATTAGTAGTGAAGTCCTGATTGTATAATAAATTAATAAAACAGAAATCTATAAAACAAACTTATTTAGGATGTAGTTTAGAGTGATTCTCTAGTGATTACTTTGCCACTGATTGTAAATCATACTAATATTTGTGTTGTTCATACTTGCAGGATTTGTGGATGTTGCCATGTTTGATAGAACTCAGCGTGGATTCCGTTGTCTAGTGCTGTATGGGCATCAGTTTGTGAAAGATCGCCTGTCGCATGACTCAATCAATTGGCGATGTGCCCACTTCCAGAAGTTCAAATGCAAGGCGCGCGCCGTGACAAAAGTGTACAACGGAGTGGAAATGGTGAAGATCACCAATTCTTGCCACTCTCACACTCGACCCATGCGAATCCGCAACAACACTGTATCAATGAAGATATAAAGAAGGAATAAAGTGAATTTGCCTCCTTGCTTTTTCCAACAATCTGTAATTGCACATAAAAGAGTTGAACATTTCCCAAACAAACAAACAAACAAAATTGTGTTTCTTCACTTTATATTAATTTATAGTGGTTTGCTATGCAAAATCTATGTTTTTTTTTTTCTCTTACTAATATTTGTAAATTGTTTACTTGCAGATACGTGGCAATCGAAAAAACTACCTCTCTTCACGTATGTTGTTGGGCAGAGAGGAACGCCCAAGATTCTGTACGAGGGTTTTACTTACATTTGTACAAAATCCATTAAGAATCGCAAATACTGGGTGTGTTCGAAGCAACGCAGTCGCGGATGTCGAGCACGCATTATAACTGACTATGATGAGACGGAGTTGATCACGAGAAACAGCCATCATACCCATTCTATTGAGAATCCCAATCACTTGCACTATGCCTGATGATCTAAACGTTTTCAGCAGAAATCAGTGAGACATCAATAAAAAACAAATATAGTGAAGATGAAGATTTTGCGATACAACGATATTTCTCTGTGTCTTTATTGTGGTTTATATGATCTAAATGTCTTATGCATTTATTTGTTACTATTTCTCTATTAAAAATACATAATTTCCCCTGTCTCTTCTAGATGAAGTCTACCAATATAGTCAGGAGTACGGCGTAGGATCGCACATTCTATGGAACCAAAGTTTGGAATTTGTTCGCGGACAGCGAGGACACAAATTGCTCGTGTTCGACGGATATACCTTCTCTAAGAATAACACATCGCTCAAGACGACTTACTGGACGTGCAGGTATAAGTCGGTGACCAGAGGTCCTTGTCGTGCGCGTCTCATGACCACCCTGACGGACGATAAGAATGATTACTATCGGATAACGATCACAAAGGCAGAGCACAATCACGAGCCGACCAAGAGGATGCTGAAAAAGTTCAAAGACGATCCCGATGAGGGACGCTACGAGACCATCTTATAAGTTCGTGAAAGAGTTTAACGTGTTTTTTTCCTTTCATTCTTTTCGAAATAAAGCAGCAACTTTTTCCCTTTCATTTGTTTTATATGTTCTACGATGTTTTTTTTCTTTCTTAGTTCAAATTCAATGTTTTTTTTTTTGCATCTTATTTCCCCATACTAATGAGCTTTTGTGTGATTGTTTCAGAGAAAAGTCTGCCCAAGAGACGCTCCAAGCGCACTAACGTGACCGCAAAGAAGTCATCAGCCAAAGTGGATGTGGCGAAGATTTTAGAGGGTCCGTCGTATCCAATGGAATTGGTGAGCGCCAAGTTTGGTGGGATGAAAGTGGCCTTCGAGGGTCATCACTTTGCCTTTCACTTCTCACGCCGACCCACGTGCAATTGGCGCTGTCTCTTCTTCAATCAGACCGACTGTGCGGCCAAGATAATAACAAAGGACAATCGCGTGTATGTGCTGAACGGTGAGCACAATCACGATGAGAAAGCGCTCGCGGACACGGATGATTATGTGCCTGAAACTGTGGAAATGACTGCTGTTGCACCGAAAGTGAAGCCGAAAATACTGAACAAGGATGCCAGCAGATCATCACGCTAGAATTTGTCTCTAATTATACTTTTATCTCCATACTAACCTCCATGATTAGCATGATAAAATCGTTGGTGTTGGGTTTATTTGTTTTCTCATTAACACACTATTTTTTAAGATTCAATGTAATTTGACTCAGAGAAATCAACTTTATTGTGAGTTGGAATAAAATGTACGAAAAATGTTCAATTGTTCAATTGTGGGGGAAAAGAAAATATTGGTGTATTTTAGGAATGGAATGTTTGTGAAAAATTTCGACTAACACATATTTTTTTCCTTATTTTGTAGAGGCAACAGAATGCCCAATTGAGTATGTGAGCAGTATTAAAGGGAGCTTTCAACTGTGCCTCGATGGATATCCTTTCACGCGACATCGCAGCCGAGGAGACACAATTTACTGGCGCTGTGTACAATTCAAGCCACTTGCGTAAGGACTAAAAGACTTCTATTGACACAGAAATATAGACTGAGATTATCGGTTTTTCAACAGGTGTCGCGCGAGATTACGAACTCGTCGCAATGGGAAGCAATTGGAGATTGTGGACAGTCATCACAATCACAAGATCCTCACTGAGAGACGCAAGAAGGGATCACTGAAAGCGCTGTATGATGAGAGGAAGCAGAAGCTTCAGGAAGCCAAAACCAGTGCGATGAAGAGTGATTTGCAAGCACACGCGGATAATTAAGATTGTATCGAATATGTAGATATCTTACATAAAAATACACTCATCAAATTCCCACACGAAATCAATTAAATATTCCCCCAAAATCAGATGCCTTTCAGTCTATTCTATCCTGTGTTTTTATCTCTATACTCACTCTGTTCTCTTATGTATTTTAGGCTCCTCGAGGAGTGCTGCTTTGGGCGCCATAAAGATAGAGCGAGTGGTTTCGCAATACTTGACGCAACACAAGCCAAGAGCGGCAAGAAGCGGTGTTATTTCCGATGCTATTCCACCATCTGAGTACTCGTACAACGTGAGAGGAATGCTCGTGTACAAAGACTACCTGTACACGAAGGCAATGGTGAAGGGACAGGAGAAAGTGATTTACTGGCGATGCACAAAGTACAATCAGTTGAATTGCAAGGCGGCCCTCAAGGCAGTAGGGAAGACACTTTATGTGATGCGCGATCATCATAATCACACGGCGACGAAGCAGAAAACCGTGAATGTCATTGTATGGAATGAGCAACAAGAATAAATTTGTCTTCTTGTTTGTTCGCAGCATTCAGAGAAAAGAATTAATAAATGCATGATTTATCTTTTCTACACACACAATTAGATGAATTAAAAGAGCAGAAAAGTAGAGAAATAAGCAATGTTTGATTTAAGAAGAATTATTAATTTGATTTTTTTCAGTGAATTCTCGATAAATTGAGATCAATTTTGTGACTATTTTCTAACTGCAACATATTTTTCTTTTTCTATTAATTGTAGGCGAAGAAATTGAATCGTATGAATCATCTTCAATGGTGGAAAAGCCACCAGTGGTGATCGTGAAGAGATGCTCAATGACAAGCGCACAGATGAAGCAACAGGAGCCAATTGAAGAGGAGAAGCAAATCCCTGAAGATCAGATTATCAAGAAGCTGCCAAATGGACATGCACTGTGCATCATCAAGCGCACCCGCGTGAAGGGTTTCTGCGTGGAGTGCATCCTGAGGAAGGGTGATTTTGAGAACTACAAGAAAACCCTCCCGAAGATCGTGACATTCTGTCCAAAATGCCCAGGCGGACGCTGGTTCTGCGAGCCGTGCTTCGATCGACTTCATTGAATACTTACAAACTTCTTTCGCCTCACTTTGAGTTCACATTTAAGATTTTATTTGCTGAAAATGTAAAATATACGATTTCTCCACAGTCAGAAATCATTGAATTTTGCGTTGTCTCTTTTATCTTTCAAAATTGTATCATCCTCTTAAATTCATACATAAAAATACTAATGCTTTTCTCTGCTTTTTCTTTCAGCCTCGTCACATATTGCTCTCTTTACGATTGGACAGCGAAATTCCGTGAAGTTGATTTACGACGGTTATTGCTACACAAAGTCCTATTTAGCCAACAACACCATCAAGTGGGTATGCTCGACGAAGAACTACACCAAGTGCCGAGCGAGGGTGCGTTTCAATAGGTCAATGTGCGTCTCCCCAATTAACACGCAGCACAATCACAAGAGAAAGAAGAAAGGCTACCCCAACATCATCAAGTGCACACCGGAATTGGTGACATCGCTGTTCAGGGATAGTGTGCGGCAGGAAACATACCACTTGAAGTTCGAAGAGTCTGACGAAAATTAATACAAATAGTTGAAAATAAAGATCAAACATTGCTGGAATATCAGTATCTTCTGCAATCTTGTGATTTTATTGCATTTCCAAAGCGCGGCAAACTCTTCCCTCCCGTGAAATAGAGATATTTGGCGCGCAAACCACGCATTCAATTTACCGGTTCCACATGTTCCACACACCTTCGTCAGGCGGCGTGCTGGACGAAACTGAACGAATCGGGGGGCGTCAAAAGTGTGAAACGTCAGAGCGCATCGCAAGAAAATTCCATTGGTGGTATTTTGCGGAAAAACTCACGCTAATATCAGCAGCAAGTGGTTCATCTTCGGCCGTGCGGTGTGCTGCGCCAGGATTCCTTAGTGACCTGTGGAGAGAGTGCTTGGGAAGCAAGTTGGGGTACTTGTGGTCGGACGGCGTTGAAAGTTGCGGAGAAACAATGATGGTGGAGGACGGGACCTCAGAGGCGACGAGAAGATTGAATGTGAAGAAGCAGACCCTGGACGATGCGTACGCCGTGCCAGCCAATTTCCTCGAGATAGACGTCGTCAATCCCATGACGTCCATGACGGCGGGCAAGAAGAGATACACAGACTACGAGGTTCGCATGAGGGTGAGTAATGCTGGGGCTCCTTTATTGGCTCTCTCTCTCTCTCTGTCTGTATCACTCTTTTTTTTACGTAATTCATCCTTTGTTCCGCTTCTTTTGCCACACACAACATCGCCGCTCTTGCTCCCCAATGCCCATGCGGAGTCACACATAAAGCACTTTCTACAGATGATGCAGAAAAGTGCAGCGGTCACACGAGAAGGGGCAACATAGAAAGTTAGTCATTTGAGAAAAATCTCCAGCGCGCGCCGCATTTGACTTGTCCGGGCAATGAGATAAATGGGCAAACACAATTGCACAATATCGCCCAATGCTGGATGAGGAGAGAATAGTGTGTGCCGGAGGAGAGAGGAGCCAGATTGTGTGCGCGCGGCTTGTCTCCATGAATGGGATTCACGCACTCCGCTCATCCCATCCTCCTTGCCAATTGAGCATCCGCCACAAGCCACACTATCTCGAGCCGCTTCAAGTGCGGCGCGAGTCTTATCTCGGTGCATTTCCCCTCGTGACGTCCCTTGGGCAAATATTAGATTAGAATCCGGTGTTTCTCACCCAGAACGTCACTGCTGCTAATTGAATAATGAAATGGTTTCAGGCGACGACACGACCAAGGTCAATGTCACTCGATTACCAAAAGCCCCAAAGCGAGAGACTTTTCTTCTGCTCTTCTCCTTATCAGTCGCGCACTTCCAGTGTTTTATTTTATTTGGGGGAAAATTCTCGCGACAAATCTGCCATCTCAGGCAATTACCGATGAATAAAATCAACTGTAATTGGTATTTTTGACCAACAAATCCTCCCAATTCACAACTCCCATTGTCAGGCCTCTGGCAAAGTGCTCTTCTTGTCTTCCAGTGTCTGTAAGATTGAAAACAATCATCTCTGGCTCGGCACAAAGTGTTGAGATGATGCATTTTTCTTTCACCGCAACATCTCTTTTACAACAGGGGAGAAAAGATGAACCAAACATTTGACACACTTTTCACACGATTTGTTTACATGATTTGCTTTTAATTATTCTCAATTTGTGTGTGTGTAATTACAATTATTAGAACTGCGAATATTCATCATTTATCATTGCAAGCTGGAAAAATGTGAGTTTTCTGGCAGAAGAATGAAATGTTAAATATAAAACGACAAACATCGACTGTTGTGTGTAAGAAAAAACCGCAAAAACTGTCGTCATAGAGCTTTACTATCCCAACGAGCACAACAAAATGCTAAGATCTCAACGTTAAGATTTGAAAAGCTAATTGTTTGGCTTTCTTTCGCTAAGAACTTAGCCATTCGGCTGATGAAATAGCAAACGTAGCGGAGATCAGTGAAAGTACTGATGCGCACTTAAATGCATAGATGTCGCATCATGTAAAACCACGTTATTTCAATAATATACTTTGTAAAAACAACACTCAAGTTAATTGTATAAATAATGGCATGAAAATACTCTCAAAATTGAGAGATTTACAGAGAGAGAGACCGAAATTTTAATTTACAAAGTTAAAAATTTAGCGAAAAACAGTGTGAAAATTCAGAAAATTGCAAAGAAAATTTATGAAAAATTAGCTAACTGAAAGAAAAAGAAATTGACTTCATATTTTCCTTGAAATTGCTTTATTACATTACATTTCATTTATTAAAACCTCACAGTGTATACATTTATCATAGCCTCATTTGCGGCCATCGCCGTTTTAGTACTGGTGACCAACCTCCAGGACAAAACGATGGAAAAGTCCCTTCATTGGTTGTTGTGGCTGTTTGGCTCCGAGCGGTGTTCAAAGCACTTAAATAACACTTTTATGGCATAAAAATATCCAGTGTCTTTGAATATTCGTTAAAATTAGCAATAATCCAGTTCGCTATGATATTAGGAGGATTTAGTCCGGTCGTAATCGCAATCACAGCATTAAAAACACTAATTGTGGCCTTAAACTGCCTAAGTGTCCTTTAGCATTGGCCCATGTGTGTAAGACCTAATGCTGTTGAGTTTCCTCCATCGTCCACTGCGATCGCTGATCGATTTCATTTCAATACTTCGGCTAAAATTTTAGCTCAGTCACAGCTTAGCATTTTTCAGCTAAATTTGCTGCTTTTACGCTCGCTGGGATGGTTAATGTTTGGGTTTGAAATTAATTTCATAACACTGCACATTCTCTGTCCCTAAACTCACATTGCGAAGCAATAAATTGTGCACATAAAGTTGAGATTTACCCCCATTTTTTTTTCTCCTTTGCAGACAAATTTACCTGTTTTCAAAGTGAAGGAGTCCAGCGTGAGACGACGATACAGTGATTTTGAATGGCTCAGAAACGAACTGGAGAGAGATAGCAAGGTAACAGAAGTGTGGCCCACAAGGAAACTCCCCCATAATTTATGATTATTATTAATTTCAAATTCTCTCTCACTCTCTGTTGCCAGATTGTTGTACCGCCGTTGCCTGGCAAAGCGTGGAAACGCCAAATGCCTTTTCGGGGAGACGATGGCCTTTTCGACGAGAACTTCATTGAGGAGCGACGAAAAGGACTGGAGATCTTTATAAATAAAATTGCTGGTCATCCATTGGCACAGAATGAGAGGTGTCTCCACATGTTCCTCCAGGAGCCAACCATTGACAAAAACTACGTCCCAGGAAAGATTAGGAATACATAAAATAAATACACACACACACACTGGACAGCATGTAAAAGGAGGAAGAGAGAGAGATAGAAATACTTCACAAGGATACGTCTAAAATATTGTTTTTGTACGTTGTGAAAAAAAATGAAACGGCGGAAGTAAATCTTAAATTTCAGATGGGATTGTATAATTTTTTTCTTTTTTACAGAACAGAGGAAAAAAAGGGGAAGATTATATGGAATCCCTTTGTTTTTTAAGATAAGATCTTTTTCTTTACTTCTTACTTTTTTTTTCTTTTGTCAAACGTGTTTTTACATGCAATATAATGATAATTAGGAGAAATAGGATTATGATGTAAAGGAGATACAGCGCGACACAGATAGATAGATGAGTGGGAGAGGAAACTTCGTGAAAAAGATTCTATTTTTGGATAAATGGAAAAAATGAAAAAGAGAAATTTGTCACTAAACGCAAAAAGTCTTATCTGCAATCTCCTACATTTACATAAATATAAAATATCAATGGAATGAGAGAGAGAGAGAGAGAGAAAGAACAGAAATATGTTATGATTATGGGAGTAAAAGAAATAATTTTAAAGCACCTTTTTTGGGATAATAATTCATAAGAAAGTTATACAATTAATTTCTCAATAGACAGTAAAGGCGAAGAGTAAAGGTTTTCTTTTTTTTTCTTCTTTTAGACAATATTGTATTATAGAGTAATTTGGTGAACGCAAATAATACAAAAAAAAGAAAAATTTCTACCTATTTCTGTCTTGATGGCCACAATGTGAACAGAAAGCAACACTTTTGTAGGCAATATTCATTTCTTTGACATTATTGGTGGAAAATATAAATTTTTTTTTGATGAAATTGGTGAAAATGAAACGAGTTTATTAGTTAAAGATATCGGCAGGTGAATAACATTGTGTTGTAAAATAAATTCATTATCATTAGAGTGTATGTAATATCTGTTTCAAATGAAATATTTCTTGGAAAGATAAATAAAAATGTTTCAATCAAAAAAAAAAGATGTCATGTTCTTTTCCCCGCATTTCGTCAATTTCTGACGCCCCTTCAATGATAAGAAGTGCCTGAAAAAAAAAACACAATTTCGACTAACACTGATTTTTTCTCTATTTCCTCTTTCCCAGATAATCTGTACTTTGGCAAGTGGATTCAACAATTGCACTACATGCAGATCGGAGACTAAAAGGCCATCATATCGAATTTACTTATCACCCTTATCGCAATAATGCTTACAATAATTGCTTTGTGATTCATGAAATGTTGTAAAAACAATAACTTTGAAATACAATTTATGGAATAATTGAGATGAAATATGACATTGTAGAGATGATAAAGTTACAAAGTGCGCGCGGATATAAAGATCTTCTTCCTTTTTCTCTCTCTCTCCACAGGATCTAAGAATAAGAAACGCGCCGATCGCGTCAGATACATAAGAATCAAGAGCAAAGCGCTGTCTTGTGATGGATTCTTCTTCCACAAGTCTGGCGTGGTGAAGAACGGTGTCACGTATTATCGCTGCTCGCGGAAGAAAACCAACGGCTGTCCCGCCACCATCAACGTGGACAAATCCGGAAATGTGCACAGCAACGGATCGCCTCACAATCACGACGCTGAGGGCAATTCTGGAATCAAGGCGGTCTACAAGGGTCACACCTTCTACCGCCACGCCAAACACGGCCCTCGCATGTACTGGCGCTGCTCCAACGTCAATCTTCCCTGCCAAGCGCGCCTGCACACCGACAAGGGCGTCCTGGTGAACTTGCATTCCATCCACAGCAGCGAATGCATCAAAAAGACCTCGGCTCGTAAGTTGGAATTATCGAAGAAGTCGAAAAAGGTTTAATCAGAAAGTACAGAAAAGATTCCTACATATTTACACATCAGATTTGCACTAAAACTCAAAGAAAAACTCTCCTCCCCCTAATTCCTTAGTTTCTTAGTCCTCCTCCGCCCAACGGTTCTCTTCTCCGGCACATCCTCTTCTGAACTGCTACTATTGTCTGACTGCACGACTCGTGATGTATTTCGCGTCACTGTTCTCTTCGGTTGCGTCTTGGTGGGCACTTTGTTCTCATTGTCACTCTCAAAATCATCATCATCATCGTCGTCATCATCTGTGCCGCCACCAAATCGACCTGCTCGCTTCTTCTGCCTCCCCTGCACTCTCCTGCGCGCCTTCCTCCTGCCCACTTGCTGCTCCTTCTGCTGCGATCGTCTCTGTTCAGCATTCTCCTCCACATTTTCACTCGCCTCATTCGGATCGGAATTGCGACACTTCTCCAATTTGTACTCCAACTCCTTCACGCAATCCTTCAGCGCCTGCTTGGCCAATTTCCCCGTATTTGTTATTATACTCTTCAGGCAATCATACACGTCGTCATCGAAGATGTCTTTCTTGAAGCAATTCACGTGCTCAATCAGCTTCTTAATTGACTTCTCATTGTAAGACAGAAGCGATAGACAGAAGGCGATATCACGAGATTGTCTCGTTGTGGAAGTCATACCAAATCTCAAGCACAGCTTATCTATCAGATTTTCAATTTGTTTATCCTTGCGAATCAGCTTCAAAATGAATCTATTAATGAGAGAGAGAGAGAGAGAGAGAGAGAACAGAATTAAGCTCCATATTCAAGATCACAGAAAAGTCTGCAAATGTCTTTCTTACCTCATTACTGTCCTGTACTTGTCTTCCTCGAGATTCAACGACGGATCACCAAGTCGTGATATAATATCGGGCATTACGTTGTAGAGAAGTGTCGGTTTGGATGAGATCTCCTTGAAGAACTCCTCACAAGTCGTTTGTATCTCACTATTATCATCCACAAGACGCAGAGCCAAGTCAGATATTTGGCTCTTCACGCGCAACATCTCGTTTGTAATGAGATAGGAGAGCATCTTCACCGTTGTCAGACGCACAAGGAGATCACTATCGTGCAGTGTGCTGAAGAATTGTCCACTCCACGGTTCAGTTTGATTGGGTGATCGAAAGGTAAAATCGGCAAAGCCAACGATGATATTGCTTTTGATATGTGAACTCTTTGTGCCCATTAAGATGTTCATCAGAAGATCCATATTGGGCTCACAGAATTTCGACGAGACACACATAAGGCGAATCATGGTCATGATTATGGTCCGTTGGAACTCTTCGTTGTTGTACATGGCGGGATTGCGACAGATGTAGTTCAAGCCAGGAATGAACTTCCTCAAAATACTCTGCTCCTTCAGCAACAGGACCTCCTCGCAAATGTAATTGATCACTTCCGCTGTGGTATTCTCAGCTGACGCTCCCACGAGATTCTCTTCCTCCGTTTCATTTGTCTTCTTCAACGCACTACTCGCTGATGTATTGAGCGAAGGCGATGAGATTGTCTTCTGGGCACGTCCATTGGTATTCTTCTTCATATTCTTCAACTCCTGTCGATACTTTATATTCGTGTACACGTACGTGTCCAGGAAAATCAACTCCTTCATCCCAACCATGCCCAAAACATAGATGAAACGATTGATCAAGTGATGTGACAGAGTCATTTGTGTCGTCTTACTATTCTGCGACAGACGAACATTTTCCACCTCATCTGCACACTCACTCGCAATCTCATTGCATCTCCTGAGAATTGCCGATAACATATCTTCACACACAGCATCCGGTGACTGAACCATGGCGTAGATGAAGTCCGTCGTCTTCACGGCAATCTCATCGAAATTCTCCACTTCCACCGTGAAGAAGAACGAATGCAGTGATTCAACGATTTTTCCCGTGATTTCACTGTCCTTCGCAAAGCGTTTCTCACTATTCTTTCCAACATTGAGATTCAGCAGGAAGTCCAGACAATGTGCATACAAGTCAGGATCACTCAATCCCCTCTCGCTGAACATAATACTCTCGATGACTCCCATATTTGCCATTGCCACCAAAGGTTTCGTGCTAAGAAAACAGAGAAGAAACACATCATTAAAGTTTAAATTACTCATCATTAGCTTTAACAATTCAATTGGTTTATATATATATTCTAAACTCACCGTGAGATTACAACGAGCAATTGCAGTGCCTCATTGGCTTCCTTCTCCGTCGTGTTGGTGAGCTTCATGGTGAATCTTTCAAAGAGCATTTGGATGATTTCGTGATCAATGTCATTATTGGCCACCCAATCATTGATGAGGAGTTCCAGTGAGATATATCGTCCAATGGATATATCACCAATGAAGTCACACAGATTCTTCACTGCTTTCGCTGCATGTTGTCTTCCCTTCTGATCTGTGGTGAAGAGGATTTTCTTGAAAGCCGCACTCACAGCATCCTTCTTCTCCTTGTCCTTCGACCAAATCACTGACAGCATCTTGTGCATTCCCTCCAGACATCCTTTCACACGGAATTGATAGCCAAGGGTGAAGAAATTGATGGCCTCACACACATCGCCGTTGGTTTTGGACAACAGCAAATCCCCAATCTTGGGCAAAGCACCCTCGATGATGTCCATAAAGTCAATACAGTCCACATGAAATTGAACTGTCTGCTGCTGATGATCATACTCACTCTGGAGTGCCTCGTGATTCAGCCAGATGAAGTAGTATGACTTCATGAGAGCCAAATAGTAAACGCACTTCTCATTCAACTGCATATTATTGACCTCTGAGCTGGAAACTTCCATATCAGTGGCATAAATCAGCCTCACAGCGCTTAGATACTCCTTCTTCTCAAAGTACCCCATCACGAGATCCTTCAGATTCTCCTGCGAGAGACTCGGTGGAGTGGAGTGATCACTGTTTCCATTGCTGCTCATGTGTGTCACATAATCCCTCACGATGGAGGCAATATCATCCGCTGTGTCATTCCACGAGCGCTCATTCTGAAGCATCTTCTCACGCAAGTCCTGAAGCTTCTGCTCTTGCACCGCCACTTCCTGCTTCACCTCCTCCATAGAGAGCTTTCCTGCGAATGGATTTCGCTCAATGAATGATGTAATAAGGATCACCGCATACTTCCTCACGAAGGCACTCTTGTCCTCAAGACGCTGCACTGCCAGCCGCAGAACTTTATTCTGCCACACAAGCGGAATGGCCAAATTTTGCTTGAGATGCGTCCAAATCTGAATCACCTTTGAGCGCACATAGGAGTTTATATCCGCTCCATGATCATAAAGGTAGTCTAGGAACTCTTCGCGCACCTCCTTCATCTCATCAGACAGATCCTCTGACGTCAATTGATTGCAAATTATATCGCCAATGATCTGAAGAACGCAAATGCGCAACTGATAGGCGTCCAGTTCCAAAAACTTGTCTGTATGTGCTATTATTTGAGGTGTAATGATATTGGGCGCTGTTTCCGCAAGTCTGGTAAGGAACAAAGTCGAGTGCTTCACAGTCTTGGCATCCTCAATGTCATTGGACAGCGTCTCCAGCAGGTCATTCATCAGCATGGCACACAGTGTGTTTATTCCGAATTCCTCCTCCAGCAGACACACTCCGTCGGCAATCGTGCACGCGGCCGGCTCGCAGGAGCGAAGGATCGACAGGATCCTCACGGGGAAGTGGAGGGCGTGATTGTACCTCTTGATGGCTGTTCCAAGGATTTGAAAGACAACATCCATTGCGCTGTCGGACTTGATAAATTCCAGCTCCAGCGTCATGTACGCCACATCGCAGGTCATCGTGACGAAGGCTTCCTCAACTATTGTCTTCTCCCACAGCTTCTCCAGTGGCAATTGGAGCATATTGTACAGCTGAATCAGGCTGTTTGACCTCTTCTCTATCCAACCACTCAAATCGGCGTTGGTGTCAATTGTCCGGGCTTTCTTCTTGTCCGCGGACGCACAATTGTTCTGATAAATCTCATCCAGGGCCTTCATCAGTGCTGTATCGAGATACAATATCATCTTTGTGGCATTGCGCAGCGAATCCCTGTCCTTCACCTCCAGTGAGCTCTGCTCCAACTTGGAGGCCAGGGATTTTCCCAATTGATCTGTTGTTGCGAAGAGCAAATCGAATGCATACATTGCAGTGTGCGGAGGAACTGATGATGCTTTCTCCACCACTGAGAAGAAGGTGTCGAAGTGGTCAAATATGTATAATATTTGATTTTGGGATGCCGCTTTTGCTCCTGCAATGGCCAAGTAGGAAGAATTTCATCAGATATTCCGCGCATTGAGCAAAACAAAATTTCAACTGTCACATACTTTTGAGGAGTCCTGGAATTTGAGCCGCTTGGTGCACTTCCTTCACGTAATATCCATTATTGGGCGCGTCAATGTCCCTCAGATCGCCAGGCGTACTTGGAATAATAAACTCAAACTGCATTTCCGCTATTGCTTCAATAAAATTGTCAAAAGAAAACACATAAACTCTTGGGAAACAAAACCGCTTTGGCGTCAGTATGCGCTTCTTCGAGGGTTGCCTGATGTGAGAAAGCCGTTGACGCATAATTGACGCTTCGTTCAGTTTTTCTCGGAACCACCACTGGCGGCGCTGGTGTATTTGTTTTGATCGGCGTGAAGATTTTTCTGCACTTTTGAGGCGATTTTCTCGAAATATACAAAGAAAATGAGCGAGGAAGCAGGTGATGGATCATCCATAAGCTATAGAGATGAGGATCGTGCGTTGATAAAGTTGTCATTCGAGGAATTTGTCAAGTAAGACAAACTCTTGAAGATGCACTCAATATTTTGCTATTTTTGACATTAACAAAATGTTAAACTTGCTGTTTTTCTTGCATTTCAGGCGAGATTATGCTGGTTCTCTCAAAAATCTTAACAAACTGGAGGCGTCTATTGGTGTATCACCAAAAATTTCCCACAATAAGGCTGTTGTGGAGTATTACTTGAGCAACTTGCAGAAGCATGATCAGTTCCGGAAGAGCCTGCAGCAGCTCACCGCTCACACGGAGTTCCCTGTGGGATTTGAGATAAAGGACGTGAAGATGTGTGCCGCTTTCTACAATCAGGCACTGTTCCTCCATCACTTCCGTCAGCCACAGCAGGCGCTCAAAATAATGACCGCGGTGCTGGATGTCCTAAATCACGCCAATCACTTGGATGAGAACTTCATCCAGAGAGCATATCTCCTCACGCTCACCATGCTGCTGGACACCAATCAGCCACAAAAGGCGAAGGCATTGCTCGAGCAGCTTGAGAATCGACTGGGAATTTCCCGTGAAGCTGTAATTAGTGATGACGTTGAGATTGCGACAGTTGTCAGTGAAGAGATCGCGCAGACGGTGAAAGAGAAGGACAAGAATCTCGAGGATTTCCGTGAAATGCTAAAATTGTGCACTATTCGAGTGAACTTGGCGAACGGTAAATCGACAGCCTTTCCATCTGAAGACACCTCGGAGTTCTCGATAGCAAAGGGACATCAATACTATCTTGGCAATGATTTCCAAATGGCTGCTCGAGAGCTGTCCAAGAAGTTCACCAATGAACCCTTCACTCTCACCGCCAATGGAGAGGATCAGAACACTATAATTGCCAATGACATGGGCCTGATTCACTTTGCCGTTCGCCACTATGCCATGGCAGTGCGATTCTTCCAGCACGCCCTGAATTTCGACAAGAATGCCAATGAGGAGATGACCCAGAATTTCTCTAAGAATCTCCCCTTGCATGCAATCGGCAGCTCGAAACAGACTCAGATCCTTTACAACCTGGGCGTGGCTCTTCTGCACTTGCAGCGGCCCAAAGAAGCTTTTGAGTGTCTCATTGTGCCCTTAAACAATCATCACAACAATCCTCGTCTGTGGCTGAGGATCGCTGAGGCGTGCATCATGCTGCACAGGCAGGAGATGAAGCAGAATGAGAACAAGAACCTGGTGGCGTCTGTTGTGGGATCGGGAAGTCATAGGAAGTACATTCTTCAACCAACTCCGCCGAAGCGTGCGTCGTAAGTTTATTTTTATCCGTAGACAAAAGTGTGCAATTTGACTGTTATTATTGAATCCTTTTCACAGGGAAAGCTGCCTTTTTGCAATTCCCAGTCCAAATTTGGAATTTGCTGATCTCTGTCTGAGAAATGCCTACACTTTGGTGGAGCATTTTATGGCGCAGAGAAGTTCGCACGGCGACAGCGCATCGGGGGCAGACTTGAATATGCAGTGGGATAAGAAGACCGAGGGAATTGCCACACATCCTTCGAAGCCACTCAAAGACAGTGCATTCGATCAATTGAGATGTTCAATTCTAGCCGCATTTTCCTACGTTCTCCTCACTCTCGGCGATTACACACTCTCGCTGAAGTACGGCCAGGAATTGCTGACGGTAGCCAATCTGCCGGACACTCTCAAGATGCTGGGCCATCTCTACTGCGCAGAGTCGCTCATTATGCTGAACAGAGTGGCAGATGCCATCAGCTATCTGGACCCGAAATTCCTCAATGAACTCTGCGGAGAGGATTTCGAGACGCAGGCTTCGCCAGACTGGAACGTGAACAGCCTGGATGCGGCTCAGTCAATAATCACGTACAATCTGGCTGTGGCTCTGGTGATGAAGGGTGATGCCCCGGAAGTGGCCAAGAACGTCTTGATGTCCTGCAATCATCCTATTGTGGCGAATCACGTGAGAATGCTCAAATTGTACATGGAAATTCAAGCGGGAAACATTGAGAATTGTCGAAAAATCATCAGAGTGGAAACACCGCAATACATATAGACCAGAACATCTTGTAGCAAAAAAAGGAAAGTGTATAAAATGTTTCGATTTTCCAGAAAAATTATGATTTTTTAATCGATCTGGTCGATATTTTTCCTATTTTTGTAATTCACATGTATGAAAATGAAGGAAATGAATACAAATTAGGTGAACTCGGCTAATTAATATTTTAAAACTTCCCACGGAAGAGAACTTATGACGCTTGTACAAATGGATCCGCAATAAAAAGCATTTTATTATTATATTAGTCATGCATTACACAATCACAATTTGCAATGTGTTTAATGCTGAACAACGTCAGCCGGTTTCGTTAGGTTCTGGTGAATATGTCACCAGTCATCTCGAGGAAAACAAGCAACACAGGATTTTGCATCCTCCCTTAAATCGTCAAACGTCGCGAAATACACTGATAAACGGCCAAAATGCCACGTATAATGATAAAGGGTGGTGTGTGGAGGAACACAGAGGTGAGAAATATTGCAGAAAAGCATCGAAAAGCCTTTACATGGCGTGAATTAAAAATGTTTTTCCTAACCTCAAAATTGTGCATTTTTCCAAAAAATTTCAGGATGAAATCCTCAAAGCGGCTGTTATGAAGTATGGGAAAAACCAGTGGTCGCGGATTGCATCGCTGCTGCACAGGAAGTCTGCGAAGCAGTGCAAGGCGCGCTGGTATGAGTGGCTCGATCCGAGCATTAAGAAGACTGAATGGTCCAGGGAAGAGGATGAGAAGCTGCTGCACCTCGCAAAGCTGATGCCCACGCAGTGGCGCACAATTGCCCCAATCATCGGCAGGACGGCGGCTCAGTGTCTGGAGCGGTATGAGTATTTGCTGGATCAGGCACAGCGGAAGGAAGATGGAGATGACACAGCGGATGATCCGCGGAAGCTGAAACCCGGGGAAATAGATCCCAATCCGGAGACGAAACCCGCTCGGCCGGACCCTAAAGACATGGATGAGGACGAGCTGGAGATGCTGTCTGAGGCGAGAGCTCGCTTAGCCAACACCCAAGGCAAGAAAGCGAAGCGCAAAGCCCGCGAGAAACAGTTGGAGGAGGCTCGAAGGCTGGCGGCTCTGCAGAAGCGCAGAGAATTGCGCGCAGCTGGCATTGGGAGCGGAAACAATCGCCGACGCCGAAAGGGCATTGACTACAACACTGATATACCATTTGAGAAGCGTCCTATGCCAGGATTCTATGACACTTCTGAGGAAACGGTGGCGACGGTGGAGTTTGATTTCAACAAGATGCGCCAGCAGCAGCTGGACGGCGAGCTGAGAACTGAGAAGGAGGAGCGCGAGCGCAAGAAGGACAAGCAGAAGCTGAAGCAGCGTAAGGAGAATGATATTCCGATGGCGATGCTGTTGAATCAGGAGCCAGCGAAGAAGAGATCAAAGCTCGTGCTGCCCGAGCCTCAGATATCGGACTTGGAGTTGGAACAGGTGGTGAAGTTGGGCAGGGCGAGTGAAATGGCCAAGGAATTGGCATCAGACGGTGGATCGGACACGACAGAAGCTCTTCTTTCAGACTACAGCATAACGCCATCGGTGTCTGCGACTCCGCGCACGCCCGCTCCGGCAACGGATAAGATTATGCAGGAAGCTCAAACTCTGATGGCACTCACGCACGTTGACACGCCACTCAAGGGCGGCACCAATACGCCCCTGCACGCCTCCGACTTCGCCGGAGCTTTGCCACAGAGTTCATCGGTCGCCACGCCGAATACAGTCCTCGCCACGCCCTTCAGATCCTCGCGCTCAGACGCTCCCGGCACGCCCGGCTTCCAGACGCCGGGATCAGCTGTGGTTCCCGCTGCTGGCAACGCCGTGACGCCGGCTTTCGTGCGGGACAAATTGAATATCAACGACGAGGAAGCTCTCAGTGTTGGCGACACGCCGGTTGCGGTGAAGAACTACCAAAAGCAGCTGAAGCAGAAGCTGCGCGATGGCCTGTCATCGCTTCCTGTCCCGCGCAATGACTACGAGATTGTGGTGCCCGACGAAGACATGGCCGAGGAGGAGCCTTCGCAGGCGCATGACATGGTTGAGGATCAAGCGGATGTGGATGCGAAGAAGGTGGCTGATGCGAAGAGGGAGCGTGAGAGGGAGATGGCTCTGAGATCTCAAGTGAGTTTGACGTGAATTTTCTTCATTTGCTGGCTGATTAACCCTTTTTGCGTTTTTTCTATCTTTAACAGGTGGTTCAGCGCGATCTGCCGCGCCCACTGGACGTCAACATGTCGATCCTGCGCCCTCCGGCTGACATGCAAGGTCTCAGTGATTTGCAGCGCGCTGAGGAGTTGATTAAGCACGAGATGGTGACTATGATGCACTACGACGCCTTCAGAGATCCCATCGCGTCGACGCAGCCTCAGGCGGCACAGATGCCCAAGAAGCCCAATGTGGCGGCCCAGCACTTGGCTTACCTGGAGCAGCATCCCTATGAGACGTTCACGGAGGAGGATCTGCAGATGGCGAAGAATCTGCTGCAGCAGGAGATGCAGGTGGTGAAGAGTGGCATGGCACACGGGGATTTGGCGCTGGAGAGCTACACTCAAGTGTGGGAGGAGTGTCTGAGCCAGGTGCTCTTCCTGCCCAGTCAGAATCGCTACACGCGCGCCAGCTTGGCCAGCAAGAAGGACAGGCTCGAGTCGGCGGAGTACAAATTGGAGCAGAACAGGAAGCATATGGCTAAGGAGGCGAATCGATGTGGCAAAATTGAGAAGAAACTGAAGATTCTCACCGGAGGTTATCAAGCGCGCGCACAGGCGCTGATCAAGCAGCTTCAAGACACTTTCCAGCAGATAGAGCAAAACTATTTGGCGCTGTCGACCTTCAAATTCCTGGCCGAGCAGGAGGATAATGCCATTCCGCGGCGTTTGGACTCTCTCACGGATGACGTGGCGCGTCAGACGGAGCGCGAGAAGGTCCTTCAGGCGCGCTATGCTCAGCTGCAGGACGAACTGAGTCAATTGCAGCTGGACTTGGCGGAGAGGCAGGAATCTCCGCGTCCTCAGGCGGAGGATGTCGAAATGGCAGCGGATGAGGAGCCAGACAATGCCGAAGTGACGGAGAGCACCAAGGCGGCGTCTGAAGATGTGGTTGAGAATAATTGCACAAATGGGACTGGCGAGGAAGTCGAAATGTGCAACAGTAATGGAACAGAGTAAGTCATCTTCGCGCCACATTTAATATCCACTAATTTACAGCAGAAATCAATGAGATGTTGAAACAATTGTAGACGATAAAAGGAAATAAATGATAGCGATACTGAAGATCGTTAGTTTTTTAATTTGCAAAAATGGAGAGACTTTTGGTGCAATCAGAGATAAAGATGATCATTGGCTCTGGCTCTGTCCAGATCACTTCATTGACTGGAAATCACTCGTAATTCCTTCAAGAAACAATCAAGCGCACTTTGAATGCCACAATCCTTGAGCCGTTGCTGACTATTAAGAGCATCTTCTGGGATCTGGAGTACATTTTGAGAGATATCTGGTCATCCAGAGTACAGAGATCAAGAGAGGAATTGAACAACAGCTCAAAAGGGGGATAAACCGGATAAATACGTTAATTTTTTCGGGATGAATTTCAAGACTCAAGCAATTTTATTATTCCTTTACGACGTTTCGGGGGCTGTTTTCGGGGGTATTGGCTCAGCAACACTGCATTCGCGACCAACACTTCATCACTAATTGGCTAAATTGCCAAATTTTGCCCATGAAAAGGTGAAAAAGAACTTACCTTCTCTGAACATACAAATAAAATTGGATAATGTTAATAAAAGACATTTTTATATTTCTAGTACGATACTTTATTTTTTTCAGTTTTTGTAATTAAATTGTTGAAGAACCAAACGAAATTATTTTGCATATAATTAATTTTATGTATAGTTCCATTTTTTCTCTCACTTTCCATAATCTTTCTTCCATATAAACTAACAAACTAATAAAATGAAAATTTTCCTACTAAATATTTACACTTTTTTTCCATCCTTTTATTGATTAACTTGTTCTTCATGCTGAATGTTATGATCTCCTTTTTTTTCATTAAGTTTACGACTTTGCATTTTTTTTTTCTTCTTGTTTACCTCTTTACATTAATTCTTTTTTTTTGTTTATTTTCTCGTTTGAATAATAACTTTTGTAGTAAATATACGTGTTAAAGCAGACAAAGAAAAAAACGACAAAAGATCTATCTAAAGTCAAGCACTAGTTTTTTTTTATCTCTCCTTATGTTTTCCCCAAAATTCGACCTTTAATCAGTATTTCGTTATGAAAAAATTGATAGTGAAAAATTATTAAATGATGAACCACACTGCAAGAGAAGATTGTGTTTTGTGTCATTCGGCATGACTTAATTTTTTTTTTTACATTCTTTCACAATTATTTGCAAAACTTGTGTAAATACGGTGGAACATGTAAGAAGTTGTGAGTGTTTTGTTAAAACCGTCCTATTTGATGCGCGCGCTTTTTGACTCTTTTTCAACACTTAATAGTTTCTTCATTTTGTCAGTTTTTGCCGTCCAAAATTCAATACATTTCCTTAATTTTTTTCTTTCCTTTCATTCTCTTATTAGAATTTATTATGTATACAATGGCGTGGGAAAAGGATTTAAAAAATATCCACATGGAACAGATATACAGTGTACAAAATAGATTCTCTTTCATATATTTCAACTTTCTTTATTCTCTTATACTTATTTAACTACTATTGAAGGAAATTGTCAGCTACATTTCTTCTCAATAATTTGCATCTGGCAGCAAAAATGTATTGAATTTTTTCTTTGTTTTCCCGCACAAAACCATGAAGAAAATATTAGTTGTTAAATTTTCCCTCATTTTTCACTAAAATTGCAGTTTTCCATTTGTTTTTTTTTTCTTGAAAGACTTCTGAAGTTTATAGAGAATTTATGCAAATTTCCAAAATACAAATAATTTTTTATTCTATTGAATTATTTTCCACTTCACTCCACATTTTCTTATCCTTTCTCTCGAAAATATTTTACCATCTCATCAAAAAAAAAGAAGAAAACGCGCCAACTTCGCACTTTTATCACTCACACAATAATTATACTTTTTTTTTGTATTAATCCTTTTTTACGACTTAAGTTCCTTAAGAAAACCATTTCTCTCATGTTTCTTTTATCTTTAAATATTTCTCTTTACTCGTTACTTTATCAGTTCAATTATTATTTAAGTTGCAATTACTACAATATGCAGTACAAGTAGCAAAATAAAAAGTAAATTGTTGTGTGATTTTTTTTGTAGTTTTTCTTTTATTTTTTTTTTATTAAAAATAAAAATCAATTGCACGCATTTTTATCGTGAAAATTCTTATGATGTTTTCATTTCTTCAATCATCTTCTCTTTAAAGCAGGTGAAAGTGATTTTTTCTCTCTCTCTCTCTCTCTCTCTCTTCTATACTCATTGAATAGATTTTTTTCTCTCTCTCTTGTGTATTTTTTATGTCACTGAATTGGAACGAATAGCATTAACAACAAACAAACGAAAATGTTAAAAAGCACTAAATTACACCATATAAACTTGTTTCCTTTTCATTTCATTGAGATTTTTCCACGTCAAAATCTATATATATATATATTTTTATTTTCTTGTTTCTCTAAACTATACAAAAAGGGAATCAATACTTGATTAATTGTGTATGATTTTTTTTTCTCTTTATTTGCATGTAATGTGTAATTAATAACAAACGTAAATGTCTAATATAAATCTTGAATATAATTCATAAACAAGGATCCCTCACTAAAAAAGAAAAAAGTGTATCTATTCGCATTGATTTCCTCCTTCAAACATTGTCAATATGTAGAATTTTGTGAATTCACCTTAAGAATCAGTTAGAAAAAAAAGAATTTGTTGAATTTCCTATTGAATGTAAGTGATTTTAACATCTTTTACTTAGTCAACTTCATTATTTCAGCATTATCAATTGCTTCTTCATTGTTTTCGGCATTAAGAAATGAAAAAATTGTGATTTAAACATTGTTTTTCTTTATCCTCCTAGTGAATTGTGTGTGTGTGTCTCAAATAGTTAAGTGTAAACATTTCTTGTGACTCTAATTATGGCCAGTCACTGTGAATTTGTATTCCCAAAAAAATGATATATGAAGAAAGAAAAAAAAACGAGAATTACTAACTTCACAAAGAATAATAAACATTTACACGCAAAATCCATACACACAAATTTGTAATAATGTGTGGTGTTCGAGGCTTTTATACTCTTTTCATTTCCTTTTTCTTCACACACAAGATTTCATATTTTCCTTTGCAATTTGCAACTTTTCTTCACCTTCATAATTAACCATTATGTTTGCTCTGTTTTTTTTTTATAAAGAACTCTTGCCAGCGTTGTACATGTACTTCACTACAGTGTTAATATTCGTCACTCAAAGTCCTCTCACGTTTTGTTTTTCTTTGTTCCATTTCTTCTTTCTTCTTCCTTTTTTTTACTTTAATCAAACTTATATTTTAATATAAAACATTTATCTTTTTATCTTGTATCTTTAGACCAATAATCCATCAAATTTTTTCCTCGATACGACTTACTTTATATATCCTCTTCCTGTATATTTCATTCAAGTTATAATATATAAATGTTTATATATATAAATAATTTTTTTTGTCTATTACTATATGCAAGTCAAATTCTGATTAGTTTGATGTTTTTTTTTGTGTGTGGATTATTCACCGTCTTATGTTCACTTCCTTTTTCTTTTAATTAGCTGTACCTTTGTTAGAACATTGTAAATCTGTACACAGTGTAAAAAAAAAGATTTCCTATCGCTGGAAATTGTAGTGTAATAATGTTATGTAAATGAAAAATAAAAAAACAAAATAGTGTAAGTTTGGTTCATGTTACTCAAGTTCTTTCCTGTTGCAGAGGTCATTTTTTTTATAAATTTAATAAGGGTCTTCAGTTAATGAATTCATGCATTACTAACAATTTTGGCTTGTATGTTTTTTTTTATTATAAAGAAAAGAAAAAAAAAAAAACAAATTAATTCCTACAAAAGAAAACTAAACATATCTAATGAGAATTTCATTCCTAAATTGTATTTTTTTTCCAAACATGTCTCTTCTCTAAGTGTTTCTTTTTTTTAATGTAATAATTCTGTTTTATACATCGAACAAATTAAAAAAAAGAAAAAAACATTTTGCCATTCCGCGTTTTTGCAGCTTTTTGAATATTTATTTGAATTAATAGTTAAGATTTAATATATGCATATGTAATGTTTTTTTTTTCTTCATTTTTCTCAAAACGTTCCCTCTCTTTCGCTCTCTCTCTCTCTCTCAGTTTCCTTACTTAATCAATTATTTTTTTTTAATTTTAATTATTAATAGGTTTTTTCTTTTATATTATAGATTGATTATTACATTGAAATGATGGCACGAGAGTTCAAATTTTTTGAATTTTTTCACCAACTACGACGGGATTATTGCGCCTAATTTCTTGAGCTCCGTGTTCTCGATAATCAAATGTACAGTCGTGTTTATCACTATATCTATGGATGGCGCAGTACAGGCCGCCACAACGGCATTCAAAACCTATTTCATTTGCGGCAGCGGCAAAAGAGATGCGAAAAAAGAATAATTTATTAGTTCCCATTTTCAATGATGATAATAATAATAATACCACATATCATTCCACACAATTCTCCATCTTACCTGTTAATCCAACCTTTTTGCGGCAGACGGCACAACGATTCTTCTTCTTCTTTGACTCCTTATCCTCCTTGTCGTCTTCCTGCTCGTTGCCCGTGGCAGAAGGGCCTGCATTTGTAGTGGAAGATGTATCATCGCTGGTCAATTTCTGCAAAAAAAAGTGGAACAACAATCTCATTAATTGCACGACGACAAGTGACGCTGTCAATTCGCTTTCAAAGCACAACGACATACAGTAGCGAAAAAAGCTTTAAGACATAACAGTTTTTTTCGATATTTTTTTTCAATTTTTCGGACATTTACCTTAAGACAAAAAATGTTAAGGATTTTATGATCTTTCAAATGGCGTAGAAATCATGGGGATATCTCAATTCGGGGCCGAGATATTGCAAAATGCAGAGAAATGCACGTATAAGGACAGCGAAAATGTTATTAAGACACTGCATAATTTGCTCTAAATCCGTGTTTTAATCATAATTACATTAAATCATGAGTTTGGAATATCTAGAAGACATCTACATCATAGACCGCCTTGACTTAGACTTGATAATTTGCATTTTGTATGCTTTTCGCTACTGTTTAACGCTTTTGCACAATTTCTTAATTTCTTAAGCGCAATCGCGGCCCAAAAACTGTCCACAGATTTTAATAAACTGTAAAATAAGAGCCCAAGTTGATCGTTCAAGAACACTTGTGTAGTTGTGAAAATTACAGAAGTTTGCTATTAAAAAGTGCGATTTTTAGACATATTTCTCATAATAGGGTTCAGAAAATCAGTAATTTCCTATTGATGCATTGCAGGAAAATGATCCTAATTGCGTTTAGATATTCTCCAGCATCCAAGCAATTCATAATGTTGCATATTATGCCCTTGCCATGCCAATTTGATGTCTTAAAACTTTTTTCGCTACTGTATATGGCAAAACATTTTACGAAAACACCCAAAGTTTCAATGGGAACTATAGGAAGAAAAAAAATAACATAAAAGAATGCTGAATGAAGGAATAATATTGCAAATTTTTATAATAATGCCAAATACCATCATAGTAATATCTAAAAATAATTTATGGATTCATCCAAGCCTGCGAAAAAGTGTGTTCGTGTCCAAAAAGAAAGTCTCACGAATATTTCATCAGGCTGAAAAACCAGCTTTGCATTGTAAGACTGTTTTTTTCTTACTTCTTCTTCTCTTCCAGCATTTTAACTACTTACATCTTTAATTTCATTGTGCTGTTGCAAACTCTGCACTGTTGGCTGTGCTGTGCTGGTGACTGTAACCGCGCTAGTGAAATTCTGTGTCTGCGGTTGTGATACAACTGTAACTGTGCCAACGTTACTGGATCCACCAGAGGGGTTAGTTGAAGCAGGAACAGAAGTACTGCTGACAGGTGGTTGCTGCTTTTTTCTCAGCGAATCCTGATGACAAAACGAATTAATTTCACATACACACTCTTCCTTCCTGTGTTTCACACACAACAATGTCACTTACCTTGTAGCAAACAGAACAGAGACCATCTGTAGCGGGATTTCCGTAGAATCCGCATCCGGATCTGCACATAGGCTGCATTGGATTTGACTCACGTTCCATGATTTTCCTCCTCTATTGAATTATCGCTAAACTTTGCGGAGTTTTAATTGGTTTGGAAAAAGACGTCGCGCTTGAGTCTTGATAATCTCAGCTGCGTGGCTCAAACTTGACACAGAAGAAAATGTTTCCACTCGATATAATCACAAATTTTTTCTTCTTTTTCTTACACACTGTGTCAGTATTACACTTCTCCTCTTTGAAATCTTTCTCAATTATTCTAATAACACATACACTGAGACTTTTTTAATACTGCAAAGAGAAAACATAATAATAATAATTAGAAATAATATTTAATAGTCTCTAAACAGAAATTGTCTTTTAAACTTTTCTACATATATTCTCTCTCTCTTGTATTAGCTTTCAGTCTTCCTTGCAATGAGGAAAATTCAAACCATTCAATTCTATAGACATTGCTAAATAGTTAAACAACTAATACACACTATTTGTTTATACTAATTGCTAATACAATGTATCTTTTGTGTGTTTCTCTTACTTTTAGAATGGATTCTTAATCCACTGTGTAAACTTGATGACTGCGGATTTGTGCTGATTCTCCTATCAATCTCTCCCTTACACACTCTTGACTTGTTTGGATTGATGAATGTCCTTAGGCGAGTGTTGATTTTTCCGTAATTTTCCTCCTATTGCATTCACACTCCAACCAATTGCTTGGCGGTGTCACCCGATGTCAAGACCGAAAATGAGGATAGATCTGAAAAGGAGGAGAAGAAAGAATTTTAGAATTCAGTTGCAAAACCATTTGTAGGCATATAAAATCCCATTTCGAAACATTACATTTATCAACCCTAGAGGAGCCAATGCGCGCTCTGTGCACAACACCTACACAGCCAGCACAAGTGTACATTCTTTTCAGATGCACAACTGCCAACTCTCAACGGCTGATAGACTCATAGACGTCTTTTTATAAAAATAAAACTACCTTATCAATGCCAACATACTAATTTTGCAATTTCACGATATATTTTCAATCGCAAAGAGTGTTTTCTTAGATATCCGAAGAGACATATTTATATTATTTCTTTTATAACACATCATCATCATCCACCTCTTTTATATGAAATAAACTAATGATATTCGATTAATTATGCAGAGTGATATAAGAAGATGCTAAAGAATCGCTTGTGGAATCTATTGTACAATCACTTTAAATTCCCACACGTACTCAGTTGAAAAAGTATTTGCTCAATACGATAGTTCTCTGGCACATGTATTATGTACAAATGTATCACTCTCTCAACAGTCACACAAGACAAAGTCAGTTTTCATTTCTACGCCTTGAACATATCCATCCATTCGCTACAATCGATATGAAAATTTAAAACATTCACAAAGCTTTACGGATTATTAATTTAGAATTCACTCAGAATTTAAATAAACCCTAATTCATTGAAGAATATTTCTTGAATGTTAGAAAATCTACAACAGACAGGAAATTTTAGTAAGTAATTGGAACATGCAATTATTTACAGTGTCAGTTTTATTAATTTTCAAAATTATCTTCTTACATATACACACACTCTATATATATAATTGCATATTTTTTTATATCCGCAATGTTTCGCTTGCTATTTGGCACAGAAATCTAAATGAGTAACCATGACACTCTCTTCTCATTAATTGAAACATGTCACTGTAATCTAGAATTAATAGATAAATGTATATTCAAATATTTTCAAAAGAATAAATGATATCATTCTACTGAAGTTTCTTTTATTGCATCACACTAAAAAATGCGACTTTTCTCCCAGGAATCTTTGTGAGATATTTGCCTTTATGTGTTTGGATTCCCGAAAATAGAGTGAGTCATAGATAAAGTCCATCCACACATTGGGTTTTTCTTTCTTTTTGCTGTGTGTGCGGAACGGAACAACAAAATTCGTCATTGTGGCGTTCTAATAAAAGCCAACATGGAGAAAACTGCGAAAAAGTCTCGGTTTCCTTGTTGTCTTTGTATTATATCAAATCCTCAACTGCGAGACTCTAGGAATTAAGTGAGGTAGAGAGACTCTCATTCATTTCTATTAGTCACTTCTATTATTTGCAAAAGCTTTAACCATAACACAAACGCACACACACAACACAGTCTGATGAAGGATTTCCAGTGAAATGCGCCATTCACTCGTGTATTATGTTCTCACAGAAAACATTCAGATCAATTTCCCAGTAATACAAGTCACAATTAAAAATGTGGTCTCCTGTTTTCAAACGATTGTTCCTTCTCTGTCGCCCAGAGAGCATAGCAGAGCATGTAAACGTATTATGTACAGCACATATGATACATTCATCCCGAATTTTGAGGAAGAGAAGAGGGCGGAAATTCCATTTGCTCACAATCACAAGGTTCTTCCATCACAAGACCTTCCACCGTCGCACTTCGTGACATTTTGTCGTCTTGCGATTGGAAACAGTCTTCTCGATTATATTCTATAGCATTTTGGCAGTAAAAGACCCTCCACAGTGGGAAGAAGCATTAGAGAGTGTTGCAAAGCAGATGAGAATTTATCATCTCTTGGCCACAGGCACGACTCAATGGTACACACAACACAACACTTTCCGTGGCTCGCGCGCGTGATGATGGTCGTCAGCAGTCGCAATTCAACGTCATCATCAGCGTCACGAGCACGATGAGTGATTGTGAGGAGTGGGAAGGAATCCAACGCTCACTCACTTACATATTTAACTCAATACACGTGCACAGCGCAACCAATATTAATCTCAGGAGAATCGGAAAAATGGAGCCATGCGCAGTGCCAGTTAAATAAATTAACGGGGATTTCATATTCACATATGTAACGTACATATGGACATTCTATGTGCACATAAGCAATTGTGTCTGTATACAATTGCCGTCTGAACACACTTAGATGGAATGTGGGTGGTTGGGTTTGCCGTTCTTCAGACCATCTGCTACAATGCGTGCAGTTGTACCTCTACAGTCTCTGTTATGTATTTTTTCCCACAAGAAGACAATAGAATTTCTGTTAGAACAACCACTTGGAAAAATGTGTCACATAAAGGATATTTATTTGTAATTGCAAAACATTCACTATATTATATACATATGCTCAATTAAAGCTCTCGAAAAATTTGCACGACCTACTTTACAAGTGGAAAGTATTCCTCCGAAAAAAACAACAACGCCAAATGTATGAGAGAGTATTGTCCATAAACACCAATATTGTATCTCTCGTTGTTCTCCGAAATACATATTACGCATCTCTCTTGAAACGGAACTTTACTCCAATTCAAGATGAAGGTGAAATTGCCGGAAATTCCTTGGTAAGAAGTTATATTTCACTCTCGCATGACTTCAACTAAAACGCAATAATCTGATTTGATTTTTTCGCCAAACATCACACAGAGAAAAAAGAAAACTAAACAGAGAAAAACGCATAACGCAGAAATTAATACGTCACACAATGTTGTTGATGTTGTGTTGTTGAAAAAGAGCAATTTAGAAATTGAAAACACACATTTTTTTGCCACCAAAAAAATATACATTCCAAAGGTGAAAAGGAAATCAGGAAATTCACAAAAATATAAACTATTATAGTTTAGCAAATTGATTAAGATCTCTTATATGTTTTCAATTCATATTACTCTCATCTTAAAATTCAACAAAACAACATGTAATAATGCTCACAGACCTTTTTGTGTAATCACCTTATAATATTTCACACATCGCTGAGAGAAATCAGAAAACGAAATTTTTTCTTTCTTTTATACAACAATCAAACTACTGTGAACAGAGTGAGATTGACAAACCCTCTTCCAATCGACAAATCAATTAAGTGACGACGAATGAGTTGAGTTATTCTCTACCCTCAAAGTTGAGTCATCTTAGGAATTTATCAAATAATCTTCCTAAACCAACACAACTGAGGGAAGATTTTCTTCACACATAAGAAGCTACACATGCGGTTTATCTTGAAAGATTAGTTCTGCCTGCCATATTTTCCATCTTCCGAACTTACGACCACAAAATATAGAGTGAAGAGACTTTGGCTATGAGTACTTTGACCCTCCCCATCCCAATATCCACACATATAATATATACTTCTGTGTATGTTACACCGTCGAGTCATCCACCATACTTTGTCTTCGATCTTGCCTTTCTTATAAGGCTTCCTTCTTCTCCTCAGCATCCACTCGTCGTACTTGTGCTCAGCAGGTTACATCAAATATATTTATACAGTCAAATTCATGTCAAGACAACATTACTTTTTAGAGCATTGTTCATCAAAATATTGGTAAAAAAAATAATTAATAATAATGTGGTGAATGAACAAATGTCACCTGATTTAAATATTGAATAGAAACAATGTGCATTTCTAAGTTCATTTTTATGCGCATATTCTTGGAAAATTCTGCTCAATATCTATGCGTTACCAATAAGAATATGTACATAACTTTTGTTTGGGTTAAAGTGCTTGCATTTCCTCTAGCACTTATGTAAGTAATTCCCGTATATCCCACGGCAATCACGACGCGGTCATCAAATGTACCTACATACATACATATATATATATATTTGTATGCATATTATCTCTATTCAAAAGAGTGACCTTAGCTTACTTAGTCATCAGCCATTCCACAGCTGCTAACTTTGTTTATATTATTCTGTAGGTTATGTGCATACACGATAATTCTGAACAAACTCATCTCAGTATATGCAAATGCAGCAATTGAAATTTGATTTTTAGAGACTTTAGAGAGAGAATGAATAAAAAAAACTGTTGATTACAAGTTCTCATTTCTGTGAATTCAAATTGTTCGCTATACCTCAACTTTCACTTTCAATTTACGGTGCTTGAAACTGCATAATTTCATTGTATGTTCTTGGTAGAAATGAAGTATGACCAAGTTTTTACTGGTTTTATGTTCAGTTGTGTATTGCGCTATTAAACGTACTAATGCTATACCTATAACTAACTCATTAAACCCACTTATATGCATGTTTGTTTGTATGCAGCAAATGTACATATTAAGTACATAAAATCAACTATAATTTCACTTATTCCGTAAATACACAGGAAATTGAAAATAAAATATTGTTTCGCGTTGATCCCCATTAGATGAATTGCTAAAGATAATTGACGATGTTTTGCATCTTACAAAAAAAACATCTAAACCACCTCTTTTTATTATTAGGTCAATATATACTGTATTTGTTATGGAAATTACACATTAATTTCATTATAATTTGGAATCTAATGGTTTTTTTTTCTTGCTATAGAACTACACAATGAACACACATTTATTTACCATCACAAATAAGTAAGAATATTGTTTTGTCTTTGCGAAAACCGGAAATTTTCTGTGCAATATGTCTATAAATGTGGTTGAAGCAACACACAAGCCATAGTATTATCTATCAAGTATTGTCAACGTAAGTGACCATGGATAAGAAGAAAGGCCACAGAGTCTCAATTTCTAGTAAACAACTACACGCAATACATAATTATCCACTGTCAAAACCTGTGTTCTTCTTATTCACCCTTTGCCAACCACAAACCATTCAGCTAAAGTTTTATAACAACAAAAAGTCTAGGCCAACCCCTCAGCAGAGAAGATATCATTGCAAATTGTCAGCATTAATGGGATAAAAAGAATCAGATATTTTTAATAGCTTGTTTTTACAATACAACACCTTTATTGCAATATCAAGGCAAACATGCTTATTGCAACAAATTTTTTTCTTCTCTATGTATTTAATAGATATGCATATATATGTCTCAAGAAATGAAAGTTCGACATTGACATAAAATTTAACAACAATTTCATTCGTAAAAAAAATACTCTAGCATCTCCCAAATGTGATGGAAATATATACTCTTATTACCGATTAAATTATCACATGTCATGAATGACCGAAACACAATTACAATTTTAATGTTAATTAGTCCCCAATTCACTTTACTCTCATCATAATATATTGTTCATACTGCATTGTATGTACATACATATGAGTGGTATACATTGTATTACATATAGACTGAAACTCACAAATATGTAAGACAGATGGAATTTTATTATCTCTTGAAGATTGCACTTATGAAAACGAAGAGAAAACATTGAAAGTGAACGTATACAATTTCATTTTTATATAATGCCCACATATGAGAGAGTTTCCAAGTGGGAATTCAAATTTTTCCAGCAAGATACAAACAGTGAATAAAATATGGTATATATTAATTTCTGTATTTTGTACAGACTATAGAATTTACACAATACACACCCTATAAACAGAGTTACATGGGGAGAGACAAACCTCTTTGTTCCATACCTCAGTGGTTCTCTCCACTATCAACCACATACTGTAATTTTTCACACGGAATTTTCAGTATAATACAGATTATGAAATACAAAAGCTTATCAGTGAATTATGAATATATTGAGTTTGGTGGATTTTTTTTTAATAATTAGCAAATGCAACACTAATCGCGCTAAAATTACCTCTTTTTTTAATTGATTCATTTTCAATGGTTAATTGAGGAATTATGTGTACTTTATTGCGTGGCATTTTTCACGATATTATTTCTCATTTCACATCATATACCATAAAGAAAGAAAAAAAATTTACGGAACTACGGAAGAAAAGTGAAAAATAAATGGTACGAATCGTACTCAAACGATGTGTGAAGGATTCTGAAATATAAGTTATGCTTTGTACATCGCAATCTTTTAATAAAAATCGTAGCAAAGTGTAGCTTTTGAAATGTAATATACTTATGTATTCCTATGGGAAATTTTTTAAATTCATCAAATATTGGGTTATATCCTCAATGAATTCTCAAAGTCAATGCTCAATATTGATTTTTTTCTATGTCACAAAACCATTTATTAAGGCCACCGCCTTTTCAGCACCACGACAAAATATATGTGTGTCAGTCTATTAACCACAGGAAGTAATTAAATTTTTCTGTTCTACATTTTCAATAATGTGTCTTATGTACTAAAATAAAAAATTTTTATGATAATGCAAAACATAAAGAAAAAATCAGTCAACAAAATTGCAAAAGCCCAACTTTATGCGTTCATGTCTGATGCGCCATACCCAACAACTCATCCCGTACATTTACTTTCTCTCTCCGTTTTTGTCCCCTTTTATGTTCTACGTGCTTATGTACGATATTTCCCTCCTCAAATGCGGTTACTAACCCTAAAAAGCCATATTCTGCGTATGTACACAATGACTTTTATTGAGCCATGCTATATTCTGACTAGCAGATTCGCCCGTAACAGCCAAGGGAAGAAATAAAAGATATAATTAATCGTCTTTCCATCACAGTTTTCGCGTAAAAATAAACAAATTGTGGATTTTCTTTAAAATAATAATAATAAAAAAATGGGAAATGTATCTCGAAAAAGTCTTTATGTGCATTTTGTGTGAGAAAGAGTCTTTTGCGCCAGCACATCTCAAACATTCCTTCTTCTCTATAAGGCATCAAGAAAATGCGCGATAGCATATATAGTGAATTGCACTTTGTTAAGACACATATGATGTACAGAAAATTATAAAGAAAAACCCATCAGAAACCCTAATACATGCTCCTTCAGCACACTCCACCCATGTGTAACAACAATAGCACTGTGCGTGAAGACAAAGGTCATTCAACTACGTCACCACAAAGAAAAATATATTGGAAATGAGGGAGATTGAAAGAGAGGGAAATGTAAGGAGGAAAAATAGAGGAGAATCATCATCCAGTGCCCCAGCAGAACTTCTCTAGCATCATCACTTCACTGCGCACCGGCTGACTCCTGTTTTATGACAGCTGTGCCTAAACATATACATGCGCGTACATAAAACATATAATTTGTTTTATATACACCACGTTTATATCCTACATTTCCCATGGACAAAATTGATACACTCGTTTGAACTGCGACAAGTATAACAGAAAGCGCGACGCAGGGAGCAAATAACGAAAACATCACCCAAGAATATGATATATTCAGCCAAAAGACCCCCAAGAAAGACCAACGTTGAACCCTTCTCACTTCTGCACTGCATGAAACAATTTCATATTTTACATGCACGCCTTTTCACCTCCCATGATATGTACTTTTTCCCGCACTGACTGATCAACATTATTCTATCATATGTATAATTAGACTCAAGATGGACTGACTGTTCACTCTCTGTCTGTGTAAGAATCACCATCAGAGATTCCACACTTCGTCTCTGATAAAATTTACTTAAATAAATTTATTCTGAACTTTCGTTTCTAATTAACGGAATGCATTCAATGTTTTAGTCGTTAGCAAGAGACATTAATATCAGGCTATGACTTTATATGAAACAAGAAAAGATATTCCGGTTATTACTAGACGAGTTGTGGAATTTTTCTAAGATATCACACGCACATTTATGCCCATCGCCTATTTGATCTGCGGTGTATTTAAAGTCAACAGTAAATTCCAATATCACTGCAACATTGCAACATAAATTAAAATCAACCAATAATAAATTCCATTTAATATGAAAAAATTAAAATTCTTTTTGCATTCACGAAAAATTAATTAAAACCTCTTTCTAAGATAACTCAATTTCTTACAAGTTTTTCCATGAGAATTATATTGACACAAACAACGAAAAATATTATTTATATCATTTTGCACAATATTATTATTTAACGCCCACAATAGATGTCCTAAATTACAATAAATAAATGGGAATAAGACATTCAAATGCGACACGTGGAATAGAAAATTGAATAAATAACACAAGAGGTGTGAACAACAAAACTACGGAAAATGTACACAGTTATATACATAGGAAAATAAATACTTATAAATACATAAATACATCCATATTTGCCATTTGTGCGTGCAAAGAGCAAAAAAAAGCGTAGTTTCCATAGCTACAGCAGGAACGACTGACTGTATCTCCGCGCTTGATGATTCAAGAGCGACTGTGACATCATAATTTTTGGCAAATTTGCGGTAAAAATTGCGTCATCATTGTAATGTATTTAATCCATTTGACTGCTTTATTTAAAAAAAAATTTCAAAGTATGAGAAATAATAAAGGTAAAATTTGTAAAATATAGAAACGATAAGCTCTATAAAATAATGTTGCTTACTTGAGAAACTCGCAGTTTCACACAAGATTTCAACTCTACAAGGTGATCAAGAAATCTTAAGAAATTGCAAAATTTATTATACAAAGAGAATCTCGTGATTCAAGTGATACACACAGAAATATCCATATACATATACTCAACTCGCAAAAGTATACCGGAAAATATTCTATTTGTATTTTAAATTTCAATTCTTCATTATTAATTTCCTCAAGCACCGCGCACTAGACAAAGCCCAAGAGTGAAACATGAAAATTGATCGTTATCTCGTCTAAAAAGTATTAATTGTTTGTTTTTTTTCTCTCGCAATTCCTTGTTATTTTCGGAACAAACAACAACCAGAAATCAGCCAATAAAGTTTTCACCTCCTTTGTCACCCCATATCTTTATATATATATATATATATGTATATATATTGCAAACTTCAATACACGAGAATGGAGCTTATTGAGATAAAAATATGAATCATTCAGTTGTCGAATGATTGTCCATCCAATGCTAAATTCAATCAACACGACACAATTTTCATACCCATTCAACACACATTTGTACATATGTTATCATATCAATTTTTTGTGGCGTATTCTCTCCTTCGCGATATTGTAATGAACGTGTTGGTGGAGAATACTTCCAATATGATAAAGAGCATGAGAAAGTGGATTCTTAAATTCATATCACTTTTCTTTCTCACTTTTTTTTTCATTAAAATTTTGCACACTGAACATCACGAGATTCAAAAAATCTATTATCTCACAATGAAAGAAAAAAATTACGAAACTTACTGGGTCCAATGAAAGACGAAATTGTTGGCAAACTGATAAATTCCAATGATAAATTTTAATCACAGTTGTTTTGTTCTATTGTTAAAACTGTATGTGACAAACATACATCACTTCCTACTTGCACACGTCAAATTGTTTCTCTGAAACACACAACCAAATTGTCGATCTTGGCTTATTACTATGCAGTGAAATGGATTTTTATTCTTCTCTTTTTCTCCTTCTACATAAAACACCCCCATAACCTATTCTTTTTCCTTCATTATTCATACAAAAAAAAATACTAATACTTTTCGGATATTTTTACCGTTTAAAAGGCCTTCGTTAACTCTTCGGACTTTCGAGGATTTCTACTGCGATGTATAGCAGAAGTTCCATTTGTTCACCTCAAGTCAAAGTGATGATATTACACTTATCATTCAAACACTGTTATATTATCACAACTCCACTGCCACATTATTGTTCCTCTTTCTTCAAAAGTCAGGCACTTTTGCGTCGTGGACTAACTCTTTTCGTGGACTTTTAACTGGCCTCTTAAAGTCCATCTATTGACGATGATTTTTACACAATTTGCCTCCTTTTCGTATTTATCTCCTCGCCTTCTCTTGAGATAAAATATTCTTCTATTTCACTACACAAAAAAAAACTTCACTCACGTGGATGGAGTCTTATGTGTCTGAACAACAGGTAAAATATTAGCAATTAATATACGCAGAAAATATAATTTTCAAAAAGGAAGTTACGCAATTATCTTTTCTTTGCTGTGAAATTCTCTTCTTTGATATATATATGTGAAAAAATAGACTACACAGTAAAATATGAGAATTTATCTTCTTCAAGTTCTGCACTCGACAAGCTCTCAATTTAGACTGACTTCATTCTCTGGCCTGAATTGTTCCCAACCAGCTTTCCTGTGTGTATAGGCGCTCTTTGTATGAGCACGCCACTGCCACAGTTGCTGGCGTGACAATGCTGATTTCCCATTTCTTCAAGCGCACTTACACTACACACACACACACCAATATTCACGCCAAGAGGGGAAATCCTCTTTATGTATCAACAATTCTTGTCCATGTGTGCATTTCTCTCTCTGTTCAAAAGTCAAGATATACACATTTGTATTTTGCTCTACAGTACATAGAAGTCGCACATAATGAAATAAAGTGAATTAAAATGCTATATAAAAATCCTCTCATCACACACACACATAACACACACTCATACGATACCAAAAACATCGCAGACGCTATACTTCCATCCAAATCCTCCAATTTATACTCAACATTCTATAGACATGGCGCATTTCTAGGTATATTGAACTGGACTGGACTGGACTGCCTTAAGTTAATGGCATGACAACGGCACAAAATTTGTTTATACAGTTTATGCCTGTATACCATATATATATATATATACATCTCTGAAACTCCAATATTTGCTGCGAATGTCTTTCTTTCATTCGCTCTCTCGTTTCCTTTCCCCTCTTCATCTCTCTTTGCGACGCATTCAAAAGTGAGAATCATGAGATGATGACGATAATGGTGATAAACATATAAAACATGTGATAAGCCTACTGCCTTCTTCGAGCTTATGGGTGTTGTGATTCTCCACTAAAGAACGCTCAACACAAGCAATAAATTCAATCTTAGAGTGAATTAATGACACTCACAAAAATACATTGAGCAAATAATTGTTTGTAAATCATATTAATCATGAATTCAATGGCAAAAAATATACTTCAATTAGGAAAAATTATTCCAACAAAAGAAATTGGATAATAATTCTCAGATTAAAACGCAAATGCCTCACGAAGAGGATTAAGGGTAAAAGGATAGCTCCTTATACACCAACATTTTAGGGTACATTTTGTTATGGTAGAAAATCAACCTTCGAAAGATATTGGAAAGAATTCTGAAATATACAGATTTTTTGGCTGCTTGTGAAGGTCATATTTGACGTCAACAATACGGAAGCTATTACGGAATTACCATCCTTTGTGACATTTGGAGACAGTCAATAACCTTCCTACTTCCCATTCGTATCACTAAGCAACAGAAATTTACTGCTAAATATGGTGCTACAGGCGTATTTCTCTCTCATCAGTCAGGCAAATTCAAACAAATATGCAATCATATGTACGTTTCTTTTTTTTTGACAAAATAATACTACTGCGCTAAAATGCTTGTATAGATACTGTTTGTTGCGAAAAAGAACTAGAATTTTCAGTTTGTTTGTCAATTTCACAGACTATTTCCAAGTGCGCATAATTTTCTGATAACAACCCAGTAAACATACACGTTTTATATACGAAAAAATTCACATTTGCAGAATATTCTTTTAATTTCCTTTTTGCCTCTATGTAAAGTTTCATGTATGCTGAGAAGGACCTCAAGTGTTTTTTCTTTATATTGGACACATTTTTTAGTATAAAGTAACATAAAAAGTTTATAGAAAATGTTGAGAAATATTCTAAGTAAAATGCGTACACAGTGAAGTCAAATGAAAACAAGTGGGTAACGAGAGATCGCAGGTGTACACCACATAAATTTAACCACACAACCAATGTATTCCATGGGGGAATTTTCAGGTGGATAAAGTGTTCAGATACAAATTGAATAATGGTACAAAGAATTGTAAATTTTTAAGTAAATTGTACAAATACAGAATGTATGTGTGTGTTTGTGAGTTTTCTCGTGAGTTTATCCTTTTGTAGAAACTAAATATTCATCAGACACACAATGTTAGTCATACAAAAAAATGCTCATTTTAAATATATTTTTCCCTCAACGTTTTCCTTTATTCTATGTTGTTCTGCAACATTTGAACAAAACCTCAATAGTTGTTGCTTTCAATTTTCTTCTTCTTTATATTAAATAACACAGTAAATAAGTATGAGAAGCGTAATAGTGTATAAATACATTGCTTTAAATGCTACAAAGTATGTTTGTCAAATTTCAGACTCTTTGCTCTTTGATATTAAAATAAATTTTAAAGTCATCATGTCAAAATCTGTATCGCTAGAGACTACAAAGAATTCACATGTATACATTTGTCCGTTTCTCTCCTATAAAGTAGAAAGAACAAAAAATTAATTGAAGTGAAACAAAGAATATTGCGTTCGATAGCAAAGAAACACAAAGCCAAAGGCAGATAGAACGTTGTAAATCAGACACACAAAGTATGTATTTATGTGGAAAAATTATATTCCCTATTTTATGCTATGAATTTCTTTAAACAAAAAGCAAACCAGCACTAACAAGAAATGTTAGGCATGTGCATAATATTGACACAGAATGCTTTAGTTGGCATTAAAAAATGGTATTCTTTCAAGGAAATTCACACACTTTGTTTTCAGAGCCTAAAAAAGACAATGAAAAATGTTCAAAATTCTTTGTCTAAATTTCACTTTGTCCAAAAAACATTTTTGTCTTCTGGTGCCAAAATGAACGCATTCGACTCATGATCTAAACAGCTGATCCAACAGTCGACACGTAGATAATCCTAATGATTCTTCGTAACTATTAATAATTATTACTAAATGCGTATTGATGTCTTACAAAGAAAGCGGAAAAGAAGTTGACAAAGAAATTTTTGGGGGCAAATTAGCCCACTTTTCTAAACATTGCTATTAAACATACACACATAAATATTCAATTAACCCTCGTGATTGCTAATCAGCACCTTCTTCATAACGCCCAAAAGCAATATCCTCATTCTCTTGTTCAGATCTTTGTTTAAGCTGTAGAGTAAAAATACATACATCAACACATCCAAATCCGATGAGCGCCTGCCTATTTGCAGCTATTTTTGAATTCGCCTCTCGTAATTGTATTTCTTCCTCATTTCCCTGAATAATAATTTGTCTTTGCTTTTAAGAAAAAAAAATACACATTCGCAGTAATTTTACAGAATTTTTTTTTGCCGAGGGAAATTTAAGAAAGACGATTTACCTTGAATTGTCAACGTCCTAATCTCTGCCATCAAACTGCTAATTATTTCGCTATATTCATTCTTTTAAGACTCACTTACTAGGAAGTTTTAACGCACATTAAAACTTTTATTTGATTGTTATACTGATTTCATACTTCGACAAAATCAAGTTTCATTTCAAATCCGTGTGTTTAAATTAATATTCACGAAAACTAGAAAGTCGCCATTGATTATTAAGTGTGTTAGAATTCAAGACTTCTAAATTAGAATTCAGTGTAAGAAATATTCTACTTTTTCAGGAATTCAGGCCTTGAAGAATTAACCAACTTTAAGAATACCAGGAAAAAGTTATGCACGTAATAAAAACAGTTAAAAAAAAACCAACGACGTTTGCATATGTAATTCTGTCATTCTGAAGATTTTCAAAACATCACAATTTTTTTTATTTTTGACTCGTGTTAGACTGACAAAGTTGAACTCAATGAGACAAAGAATGTGCATGATTCTGTGAAGGTCAATGTTATCACGTTGAGCATTTCATATTCAATATATAGATAATATTCCATTCCTCACTCTTGAAAGCACATGGTTAGATTATGTATGAATGTATATTCAATTGGAATCATAAAGTTTATTCTTTGCGAGATTTTTTAATTGAATAAAATTTAAATCATTTGACACTACATATATTGTAGATATTTGCGGACGTTTTTTTGTATAGATAAAGTGTGAGTTGAGGAGAGAGATTAGAAAAATAATAAAGCACGACAAAACAGATTAGGTACATAATATGTATAGTATAAAGATGGAGACATGGTGTGTATAATTATGTACGAAATGTATGTAGAATAGCGAATGAAACGAAAATCGAGAAAATACCAATATACACACGACCTTGGCGTCTATAAAAGCATTCCAATTGTAATTCGCGACTTTGCGGATTCTTTTTAGTAGTCTCCTTCACTCTTTTGCGTCTTCCATTTTGCCATTTTCAACTTTTACACATATATTCACTTCTATGTGATCATTTTATTCATTGTATTCCATATATATATACCACACACTATCTTCTTCTTGGTCAATTCACCTTTTATCTTCTCACCCATGCAGAGTGTATGGTTTTTCGTCATTTGTACGTACGCGCGCGTACATTATGTAGAGACGAGCGAAAAAACCAAGTCAAGTGGAGGTCTCTCCTCATAATCATTTTTCAACTTTCATATACCCACGAGATATGAAAAAGACACGTACACTCCCGCAGTGAGAGAGAGAGAAGAAGAAAAAAATCATTTGAAATAACTACAAAATTATAGTATAGCAATAATTGCCAATATAAAAACGAAGACTTGCAAAAAGAGGGGAAAAAAGTGAGTCGATTTCAAATTAATTTCGTCTCTGTCTCTATAAAAGCGAACACGAGAAAGAAGCGCGCTTCTTAAACAGACAAAGATTGTAGGCATCTCTCAAGACCATAATGCCTTCTTCGAAGATTCTTCGAAGAATATACAGCGAAAACCAAAAACACTCTTTATACACAGAGTCTTTCTATTAAAGTCACTTCTATAAATTTCAACACAATCACAGAAAATGTCTGGCGATTAACTGACTTCTTTTCTTGCTTAAATTAAAACAATTATTCAAGGACAAAATTCTCTTTAAAGTCAACTTGGCAAGCGATTTGCACTTTTTTCACTTGTAATTGATAAGGATATGGCTAGAAGAGATAATATGAAAATTTCTCTTTAAAATATAGAATTTAATCACAAGACGCAATAGTCTTAACTTTGGCAAAATCTAAAGCATTCAACTTCTGCAAAATCATCTTCATATTATTACAACTAAGGTGTGTGTTTTCCAGACAATTCCTCAGAGTTCGCAAGTGAAGTTCAAGCACACTTGAGAATCTTCCTAATGGAGTGTTGTAGGACAGAGTCTCAATGTATGACCAGGAAAAAAAGCCAATATAGCGGTGAGCAGGAAAGACGCAGTCGATGACACTCATTCCCATTTTGTACTGGCTCACTTTATATGTGTTTAATACCCAAATCGTATAAATACACAAGAACAGTATAAATATAAATTGCGTTCTTTGCACTGGCGGTTGATGGTTTTCTTCCATCTCGCCTCACTCCTCGCCCATTTCGTTCATTGTGATTATTTTGCCCGAAGGCCACTGACCTTGTGGTCGCTAGAATTGCCTCTCATCAGATGGATCCGTGCGCGCTCGATTCGTTATTTTGGATATATAATATATATATTGTGTTAGGGAGAAAGATGAGTCTTCTCGGAAGACACAAGAGAGGTGTGCGAACTTGTGCGACGCTCCGTACATATACTCAATATTATTATCTCCTCCTATACGTTATGCCAAAAAATCATTCGGTCAGATCTTGTTGGCAAAACACTTCCTGGAAAACCCACAAGTCGACAAGTAAACAAATTGAGAAATCAGTAGAAGAGTCGAATATCGTGTTTTTCTTGCCCTCCTATTTTATTGTGAAATTCACCAGTTACTCTTTTCTTTTTTTTGTCTTGAAGTTTTATCTCAAGCGAAACCATTTCCTCTGAGACAACACAGAGTATTGGCGAATTTCAAATGGGCACGTCATCGTCTTTTGTCCAGTCAAATTCAATTGGAAATACTAAAGAAATTAATATACATACACACACCCTTCCTTCTCTCATTCCATTATCTCAGCGACAAGAGCTGAGAAAAACTACGTCAACACAGAGTTTCTACAGCATTTCAACGCGCGAACATGAATTTTTCCCCGCTTCGCTCATGTACACTGGATGAAAACGAGACATTCTTCACAAGTGTGTGGATTTTTGTTTGCAAAATGACGAAATTAAGTGATTAAATAATTGGGAAATGTGATTAAAGAGAGCCCCCACCATTATGCGCGCGAGACAAAATACAACTACTCTGTTAAGTGAACATACCAAAAGCACCAGCAAAGGAGAGACCCTCGTCATTCCAATATGTGTGTACACAACAAGAAATGTGCCAATTTCTTTTAGAGGACACAAATATACAAACCAACCCAATATGTGTCACATGAAAATTGCCACGTTTCATCATCACTGCGATTCTTTCATTTTTCCTCTCTCTCTCTCACACTCATTTCTCAATATCACTTTCATTTCAATATTGAAACAACATTCACTTGCTACATCCATAATTTCTTATGCACCAAATTAAGGTCACCACCGGCTGTGTTTTCTTCGCTGCAATTTCCATTTTCATCTGTCCTCCTCAGTGTCGAAAAATCACCTTGAGCACTGGCTGGACAAAGGAGGGAGTTATGTGTGTGCCGAAGCGACAATGTGAAACTCTGACGAGGAAAAGCGCCAGACATTGTCATTGAGGGCGCGGGTGGTGGGCGTCTTTCTCCCCGCATCACACATTCAGGATATTGGGTGGCGGGTGATCGAAGCACACAGCATTTTCTCAGATGACAAAATCACCTAATTGCTGACGAATGAGGATGGCAGTGGCGTTGAAAGGCCAACTCTCCATGGCGACTAATCGAAATTTAACGTACACACATAAACTCTCCTCTCTACACAGCACAGCACAACAGCACACACAGTATTGGAATTTCCAGAGTGGCTCTTCTCTCCTCACAAACCCATTCTTAATGGATATTGTGTCAGGCTGAGACGTGAGACGCCCTTTCTCCGTCTCGCACGTCTCTGTCGCTCCTGCTCTGGCCCGCGGGAGTGCTGTGCCCTCCTCGTGGCCGCGGCGAGGGACAGACGGGGTAAGGCCACAGCCACACCACTGGAGAAACAGTGATCTGCAGCTGCTTCTACGCAGCATTCACATTTAACCACAGACATTCCTTCTACGTCAAGAAGGTGGAGATGCAACAAACAATTCTCTCACTCACCATTCCAGTCTCGTTCTTCACCGATTGAGGCAAAGCGATTTATCCGATTCGCTCCTATTGATCTGCGGAACACAGTCTACCCAGATGGCAGTTGTCTGTGGAAGAGAAATGAGAGGCATTAGGACGGAAATGCCTGACGGGGAGAAGAGAGTCTACTTTGGGTGGAAAGACGTCAGCCACACAATCATGTTGTTTTCCTGCTTTTCCCCCCCAAGCCCACAGAGCCCCAGCCTGACGCAATTGCCAATACTCCTTACAAACACTGCCCGACGAATGCACGGGAATATTCTATCGAATCAGCCAGCGACAGACAGCAATTTATTACACATGCTGGGTAGCTGTTTCTGGCACATTTCACAATCGATTTTTATTCGTGGGAACTTCATAACATTCATCACTTTTTCCATCATTCCCCAGTGTCACTCCCAAAGACTGCCCACTGGAGACTCCCTCGCCAGTTGAGCCACGACCACACACAACCGTGGGATCGCCACCCATCCGGAAGTGAGCTCTCTACAGAGGAATTCACTGCTAATCACCACCTTTTTTCGTCTCCATGATGACTTTGTGTTTTCCCCATTACACCACCGCCAGAAGCTCCCGGATGTGCGCCACACACCACAAAAGTCTCCCCCGAGCGCCCCCAAGCCCCCTCGCACACTGCCCGTCGTGATATTCCTCGTCAATAAGTGGGAATTATGTAAAACATTTTGTTAGCCTCTGAGAGACACTGGCATAAAATGGCGGACATGAGTTTATTGGAGGAAAACCCCAAAAGTGAATCTCGATTCAAGGCTGCCACAGAAAAATCCACTATTCACCGACTTCCTGCTCACTTTCACTGGGAATTTCACCTGAAAACTCTTCTCAGGCTTCTTCTTTGCATAATTCTACATACCTAGTAGGCAATTGTCGACTCAAATGGTCCAAATAATCCACAAAATCACAGACGACACTTGTAATTGCAAATCACACTCACTGTACCACTCCGAAAGTGCTAAGAACACTGCAATAATTTTCAGGTTGCCTCTCCGAAACTACAACAAAAAGCTCCGAAAGCTGCTTCGATCTAACCTCACATGACGTGCGGACTTTGCTGACGACTTCGAGTGCGGACAATTTTCATACAGTAAACATGAAGGGAAATTCGGGATCTTTTGGTAAATATCACTTTTTTGTACATACAGCGAGTTTTGTGGTAATTGAGATTTGTTCTACTGCCAGATGTTGCGGGATACTTTGTGCAGGAGATGGAGAAAGACAAGAATCTGTCAGCTGGAATAGCGGCTATCAAAACTTTGCTGATGGTCCTGGAGAAGACACCATGTGAGACTCTCTGTTAATCTTCCCTGGGAGACCCAGAGCTCATGCACTACTCTATTTTCAGTTGATACTGTCCAGGAGCTTCACACCACCATAAAGACTGCCATAGAGACCATGCGACAGACAGAGCAACCGCTCACGGCAGTCATTTCCGGATGCGAGCTTTTCTCGCGTTTCATCACACTGGCTAAGATTGACGACATCACCATGGAGGAGTGCAAGACCATCATGCTGCACCGAGGCAATATGTTCCTGCAGAAGCTCCTGGAAGCCCGACAAATAATCGCAAAGCAGGCTTCACTCTTCCTCCAGGACGGATGCCGAGTGCTGACGCACTCCCGATCGCGGGTTGTTCTGGAAGCAATCACCGTGGCGGCGCAGTCCAACAAGCGCTTCCACGTCTTCATCACCAAGAGCTCCACCGACAATGCTGGCGAGCGCATGAAGGCGGATCTGGAGAAATCTGGCATTGAGTGCACCCTCATCCTCGACTCAGCCATCGGATATGTGATGGAGAATGTGGACATGGTGCTGGTGGGCGCTGAGGGAGTGGTGGAAAGTGGGGGGATTATCAACAGGATAGGCACGCTGACTATGGCTCTGTGTGCCAAGGAAATGAAGAAGCCATTCTACGTTCTCGCCGAGAGCTTCAAATTCTCCCGCTTGTATCCGCTGAACCAGCGGGATTTGCCCAACGAATACAAATATCCGCGGAAATCTCTTGGCGGTGACCTGGCTAAAACCCATCCTCAGGTCGACTACACGCCACCGGCCTACATAACTCTTCTCTTCACGGATCTGGGTGTTCTCACGCCTTCTGCCGTCAGCGATGAGCTCATCAAATTGTATCTGTGAATTTGTACATGATGAAATACACAAGACGAGTTACAATTTTCTGGTACAAAAATATTGTGCATATTTTGTCTGACCGCATTGATTTCTTTGATGAAAAACCCTTGGGTTTTCAACTGAGTGTTGCAAATGTATTGAATTTCACAGTGGGAATCTGAAGATGATCCCAAAAGCTGTCCATAATCACTGGAATAGGCACAACTGGTCACGTGCAAGGGCTGCTCGAGCAGTGAAAAGAGCAGAAAATTGCCTCTTGAAGTACATGAACTCCAGTTAATCTCTCTTCCCTCGAAAACTTGCTCGAAAGTGATTGTGATTTAATTTTTCCAAATTGATGCCCACAAAGAGTGTGATGTTGTCTTTCTCTTGCGCAAATCACTCACAATAAGATATTGCATACGGAATATTTGTAATTTTTCTTAATGATAATTGAGATTTGATGTGACGAAAATGTTACTTTATGACGACACGACGTAACACCGCCTCGAAATCAATAATTGTGGGGGTTGCTAGGCCTTGTGGGGCTTCGACAGTTGTTATCATGGCACCCAAACTCACCCCTTCGGTGACAAAATCGAATGGTTGGGCTTTCAATGGCTTCCCTCCGCCATTCGATATTTTTCAGCATGTATTTATTTTGTCACATTTGTCGCGTCCTTTTCGGTAAGTGGAGTGAAAGCAAAATATAATTATGTTGGAATTTATTAGGAAAATATAATATTTATAATGAGAATTTGAGACACTCCACAAATTTCTTCTCCTCTACACACTTTGCGCTTGAGACCCCTTTCAAATCCCAATTAGTTAATTTATTTCTTCACCAAAGAATGCACAAATTGTTTAGACATGCGTCTGATTTAGAATCCAATCAGCAAATACAGGTGTTAAATCCACATTTGAATCAATCTTTGCAGTCTTGCAGCTTCCGCGGTGATTCAAATTGTGTTTCTCTGGTGCTTAAGCTGAAAAATCAACAGTGTGATTGAATCTCTTCCGCCCTCCCAAAATACACCCTCTAATTCGCCAATTAAATCACATTTCGCTGGGAAATTGTCCCGTGCAAGAGGGTAGAGACGCACAATCGAGCCATCATCCCTCACTTTGTGGCTTGATATGTGGCAAAATTAATCTCCATCGAGGATATCATCTCCAAGACCATTGACTTCCTCGGCTGACTAACAATCGCGCTGAAACCTCAGGCGAAATACCTTTTCGCCTCATTAGAAAAAGAAAATCACGCGGGATCCAATGTCGGGGTTGAATTACATTTTTTCACTGAAATCTCCAGTCTCGCCTCTTTCTCATCGGTCTCTTGGCCAAATACCGCAATCTTTGCTCATCTGCTGGGACGGATAATTATCTACGCTGGTGAGTAAGGCATGTACAATGTTCTATTTGTAATTCCCACCGCGATTAGATCTTCCGAAAGTATCTATTTCAGTGGTGCGCGTGAACAGCATCAGTCACAAGTTTTACTAAAGTAAGATTAATCTGTGAGATTGAAAATTTGCGGAAAAGTCTTTTGTTAATGAATTCGAGACACAAAGATGAAATATCAAAGAATCAATCATGGTAGTGATAATAATACTGTAAAGAAAATGCATTTTATTAATACTGATAATTGTATGTGTGATCAAATGAGGTTTATCCTGATTTATTTATTACTTTGCATTTATCTTAGTACAGAAACTTGAGCATAAGTTGACTACAAGTCCTTCCAAACTTCTAAACCAGACAATTTTTTGCGCTTTTCTATCCTTCCTTTTCACCTTGCGACTGAATACAAAAGTGTGAGTTTATATATAAAATTTTTTAGGCCTTTTCTCGGGCTGAACCACATGTTTTCAGGCATTCCCTTGACCACTGTTCTCGGGCCCGGTGAAAGACGTGACGAAACACGCAAGGAAAGTAGCGATGAGCGGATGTGAATGGATCGAATTACTTTCCTCCCCATTCGCTCACCGGACGCGAATGCGTTGGACTTTCCTTCGTGAGGTGGTGGGAAATCAATTGAGTGAGCGCGCCTTGCCGAGACCCAAAAGCGATCATCCCGACTCGGGAGGAGATTCTCCTCCACAGTCGATTGGAAATGCGATACTTTATCGTCTGGGTGGTCGGCGATCATCTCTCACAGTTGCTTGACTCCGTTGGCCACAAGAAGCAGCAAGAGAGTCAGCAAGAGTTGTCCTCACCAGAAACTGACCCGCGGCAGTGACAAGCCAGATGTTGGCGCTTCTCTGCCAAGTCTCATGATTTCCCACTCGGAGACGAGTTCAATGAATATGCCTCCCGAGAGTCTCGCTCCTGGGCGCGCGGCGGCGAGGAGGACGAGGAAGGCTTCCACGCACTGCGGCTCGGTGCAGAGAATTTTTCCATCGCGCGGGTGAGTGGGTTTGTCTTGTGTGCTAGGGAGAAGGGAATTAAGCCAATAACCGACCCACCACTTCTCAACGCAGTCACACATCGGGTCGCTCGGAGCCACACATAATGCCACTGTCAGTTCTTCACGCGACACCCAGCCAGAGACACTTTTATCAGCTCGTCAATGGAACCCACCAGTTCCCGCGTCGCACAACTCAGAGAATCTGGGACTTCCTCCTCGCTGCCAGGCATCTCCTCCGTCGCGAAGTGATAAGAGCTGTGGCCATTGACGTGCTTAACACGGACGGATTATCAGTGAATTAGCGACAATGGATTTGTCTGAGGAATATGAGCCCTTATCCCAGTCCATCCTGTGCAGATCAACGACAGAGTGCTTATGATTCAGGATCGTGAGTCAGTGTGTAGTGAAAAAGTGACACAAAACAACGAATATTTAGTAAGAAAATAGTGAAATTTATACATCATTGATTAACCATTAAAACCTAATAATTCAAACATTAAGGATTAGTATCGAACTGGGTGAGTTTTAATTACAATATTAACTTGAGCGGGATTCTTTTGATGCAAGTTTCAATGATTTATTAGCTATGAACTGGCAAAGAGTGAATATTCACGAGGATTTTCCGGGGTTTTTTCAATCTTCTAAGAAGTCTCTAAGAAGATGATTAAACTTACATTAAAAAATTTTATGTTATCGTAAATTAATTAGATAAGAACGGGAAAACCAGGATGACTTCCTGACCAGTAAAAAATCTCTTTAAATTTGTGACTTTAATTCATTATTCTGGACCGATTTTATTCAATTTCTTCACTTTTTTTCATCTTTAAAATATTTCAAACAGTAAAACAACATTAAAACATAAATTATTAAGAAGCCTCTTTCCTACCCTGATATTTAGTTGGTGAAATACTATAGTTATTAGTGTTTATTCCTGTTTATAATATTCCACAACGTATAGAAAGATGCTAAGAGGCTTCTTTCAATTTTCCTATTTTCCCCGGTGAACACTTATAATAATTTGTTTGCCGTTTTGAATTCACCGCTGGAGTGTGTTTTGAGAGAAGAACAATTAATGCGAATAAAAACAAAATAATATGGATTGTTTGAAAAGTTGTGAGCTATAAAATTCAGTCTGTTGGGAAAATAATGGCTTTGTGCGGCGATAGGCGCGGAGTCTGCCCAAAAAGGCGGTTCCCATTTGTGAATTGTACCTCACAGATTGGTTGCTATGCATCCGTCGGAGTGGGATTTTTCCCTGGAGTTCCAAAATGGCGCCGGCCATCGAGCCTCTGTCGCTCTTTGACTTCTCGCGCATAATTCTCCCCAGAGTGATGCCCACTCACCCCTGCAATGCGGGGCAGTTGCGCGGGGGAAGGTCAGGCGCGAGGGAGGGAAAATCAGTTGAAATCTCACCTCTGCTCTCCACAGATCCCATTGCGAATCAAGAGGGTGGAGCCATGTACATCACGTGTGGAGATGGGATCCCTATTGAGCCGGAAACGGGATATGTTCCCAACAACCCCCTGTTCGGGCTGCCGCTCGATAGTCCTCAGGTGAGTCTGCGGCCGACAGCACATCTCGCGACTTCCTCTCGTGCGTGAACAGTGGGTGAATTTTCTCTGTGGTACAATTTCCTCTTCATCCCAATTCAAGGAGTGTCCGTCGGCATCCTGCATCGGCTGCTCGAGCTGCCAGTGCCAGGTCTCGACGCTGTCCATTGCTGAGCTCCACGAAGACGCCAGAGGATCGGATTTCGATTGCGGAAGTTGTCTCGACCACAACACCATTCTCAGGTATCATTAATCTCATTATTCCCCCAAACAAGCGTGGCTTTTCTTGCGGGTGATTTTAATATGAGAAAAGAGAAAGTGTAATTCATAACTCACTATTTCGGCGGTGAGACAATTTTATTATACAATTAGAATAAGAATTGTGTTTTGAGATTAAAAACCGTACAGTTTGATGCTGTTAGAAGAAACAAGGAAGGTAAATGAAAGAGTAATGCTTCTCTAGACGTGAAATGCAAAACATTTCTATCTTGTTCTCAGAGGATTTGTAGTTTTCTTTCAGTTTCCTGGGAAAATGATACATTTGGGCGACATTTTAAAGCAGTAGAAATGCAAATAAATAAAGCACAACAGTTCGGTTTCCAAGAATTCTTAACATCATATCGCACTAGCTTTAAAGTTAACGACAATGAATTTTAACCAGGTTTTAACAGAAATTTAAGGGAAAAATAATCTAAGGACTAATTAATCCATATCAGTCTTATATTTGTACTAAACTTGTGTTTAAAAAATGTAATTTCAGGCATTTCGTATCGATATCTGTCGATAAGTTCAATAACTTACCAAAAGTGTGTTGATTCCCTTAAAAAGAATGTCGTGTTTGTGCTGATTGTTAGCTTAATAACTTTTGAAAGAACGTAACTTGTGAATAAATAAACCATATTTCCCTATTTTCGGTCAAAAAGTTACAATGAAAATGCATTGAATTTAATAAATATCTTGTAAGAGAAGTAATTAAATCACGGATTCAATTGGTCGGTTTTTATTCGCTATCATTATTTTAGTTTACCGCCAAATACCAACTCTCACCATCAAGGATCGTCTGGAAGCTACTGGAGTGAAGATATGGGATCATTTCCAGGCCTTCCGCCTCTCGAGTTGGATCCCTTGCCCAGTCTCTTCCCGTTTTCCCCCTGCGGCGCTTCCTACAGGTACAAATCCTTCTCTCTCTGCCTCCGTGGCGAAGCACTGATTGCCAGCTTAACTGCCTTTCAGCCGAAATGAGCGTCCGACGCACGACATGGCCGATGTGCTGCTGTCCCTCAAGCACGCCGTCCTGAAGCCCAGCCCCGAGCCGCAGCCGCATCAATCCATGTCCCAGAGCTTCGGACCTCCGCAGGCGTCGCTCTCCTACACTGTCCATCCGCCCGTGCAGACGCCCACGTCGGCGGCGGCCAACTACGGCTCCAGCGGCTACTACGAGTCCGCCGTGAGTATTCCCTCGACCCGCGAGGATAAGTGGCTCTCTCGTGATCCGCAGAGTGTTTGACTTTCCAGCACGCGCCCGCCATGTATCCCAGCATGAGTGTCAACGTCAGCATGAACATGACAATGCACGGATACGGAAGCGACGCCTCGGCGTGCTCTCAGTGGCCGCCGCAGTCGTCAGCGTCCGCCGTGAACGTCCTCTATCCGCCCCTCCTGAGTCCCAGCCACTATCCCGCCGGCACCACGTACTCCTTCACCGCCGACTTCCGGCCGCCGCCCACGGGGCCGTCGGCGCAGACAATGACCTCTCTCGAGGCTCCAGCACAACCGCCGCAGCGCCCATCGTGCTACGCCGCCGGCGCCTACTCGCCCGTCCAGAAGCCCAACCCGATGTGCGGCGTGACGAAGCTGCGACAGGTGCGCTCCCTGGGCATCGGGTACGACGAGGAGGACAGCGGCGACAGCCTGCCGGACGCCAAGCCCAATCTGTGTCGGCTGTGTGGGAAGACCTACGCCAGACCAAGCACACTCAAGACGCACCTCAGGACACACTCCGGCGAGCGGCCCTACAGGTAATCCCGGACGGCGCGCGGTGCTCGGTGAAATTGACCCTGTATTCATACGACATAGGCACATTTTCAGGTGTCCGGATTGCAACAAGAGCTTCTCACAGGCAGCCAACCTGACTGCCCACGTGCGCACCCACACGGGCCAGAAGCCCTTCCGCTGTCCCATTTGCGATCGCAGATTCTCCCAGAGCTCCAGCGTCACCACTCACATGAGAACTCACTCGGGAGAAAGACCCTACAGGTGATTTAACACAATTAAATAAAGGGCAAATAACGTGAAAAATGGAGGTTGAATTTTAGGACATTCTGGAAATTTTGCGCTTTTTCAAGAGTCAATTGAAGAACATTTTTGAAATTGCATGTTGATATCTTCATTAAAATTATTTTCACAGAATTTGAGAAATGTGCAAAGGGGAAATAATACAGTTACAAGTGGTGTACAGCTCAAAGGGAGTTATAAGGAAGTGTTTAAGATTCATCCACTCAGAAGAGTCAGAGATTTTGAGTTCATTAGGAAATCATAAGAGATAATTTAGTGATCTAAAAAACTTTTAAACAGAGTTTTTGAAAATCTCTTAGTGATATTTTGAGGTTATGGTCGGAAAAGATACCCCAAAAGACGGTTTTAAGTGGATTCTTACAGAAATATAGAATGAAACTTAAAGGATTTATTATAATATGAGAATTAGCGTCGAAACACTCTAAAAATTTGAAATGTTGGAAGTGTTCAGAAGTGATGTACAGCTTTAAGGTATATTATTTCCCCCTTAGAATGTTGAATAGGATTTTGAAGCAGAGAATACTTTGGGATTCTAAAGCAACAATTTTACAATTTCCTTCGTTCATTGAATTATTGACTGTGCTTTTCCGAGGAATGAAGACTTTTTATACATGATAAAAATTAATTTTAACGAGACCAAATGGCGTAGATCTAATTAATTTAGATTTTTTTCCAATTGTGATTCTCAAGAATTCTTTGCTGCTTTTCAGATGCCGCGCCTGCAAGAAGGCATTTTCCGACAGTTCCACCCTCACAAAGCACCTTCGCATTCACAGCGGAGAGAAGCCGTACCAGTGCAAACTATGCCTGCTGAGGTACGGGAAATGCGCGTCAGAGGGAGATGTGAAATTGCAGGGGAAAAATGACTCACACTTTTCTCACCCACACACACAGATTCTCTCAATCGGGGAACTTGAATCGCCACATGCGCGTCCACGGCACGAACGGCAGCCTCATAACATGACAGAGGCACATCGTGGGCGCCATCAGCATTGGATCCCAGACGTCCCTCAGTGCCACATCGGCCATCCTGTCGTCCACGGTCGCTCCGCCGACGACGTACCACGAGGACGAGCAGAGGGCAAAAGCCGGCGACCTGTCCAGCTACTATCGGACAAGCAACTGCCTCAACATCTACTGAGGCCAATCGGCGATTTTTTCCTCTCAGAACATCACAACGACGTAGGCGACGCGACATGTTGTAGTTTTCGCGCTCGCGAGTGCATGAAATTTTACATAAATGTTCAACAGTATCTAATCCAGTCTCTCTCTAGTCAGCATTAATGCACGTTGTACGGAATCCACAGAGTGATTGTGTCAGAGTTGGGAAGGTGGAAAAGATGGGGAAGTGAATAAAAAACTGATCTTGGAAAATGCCTTATTTATTGTTATTTTTATTTATATTAAATGTTTATATATTTCTCATATATTTAATTTCATACTTTTTATACCAATCAGTAATGGATATATGTAATTTTAATTTATTATATTTATATAGACTAAAAAATAGCGAAAAAATATTTGATTCTTTATTATTTAATATTTCCTTAATTTCATTTACTTATTCTGCTCTTTTTCCTTAATTTTTTGTTCCATTTTCATCTCCACTTTTTTTTCTTCTCTTCATCATCATCATCATCATTATCATCATTGTGATTCTCATCTCATTGTAAAAAAAAAGAAAAAATTCATTATTCTTAAGTAAAAAGAAGTAAACAAATTTGAAAATAAGAATGGTATATATAAAACCTAAGAACTGGTTGTTGTTGTTTTTCCTGTCACAAAAGTCAGTATAATAAAAAAAATAATAAGATTAATATAGAAATTTTATGATCCTCTCTCATTCGCCTACTATGACTTATGAAAATTTCCTATAAATTTCCATTTATCCTTCTTCAATTCACAATTTCATGTCAAATGTATTTTTTTTTTAATTTTTCTTCACTTCCTTTTTTAATTTACGTTTATTACTAACAATACTATAGTGATTCAAATTTCTTCATCATTTTCTCCGTATTGGCTCCAAAAATTTCTTTTCTTTTCTTAATTTTGTGTGTGTGTGTGTGTGAAAGTTCTTGTTCATTTCTATTCGTTTCTAAAAAATTGTTTAATTTCATTTTCACTTCTCTTCATCTCATTTTTTTTCTTCTTCTTTTTTTATGTAATTTGTGTAGTCAATTAACTCTCATTTACTTTTATTAATTATATGACCTTATAAAACAATTTCTAAATTAACATAAAATCTACTAATTAACATATTTCCTTGTTATTTCGTATCTCTTAAAAATGTAATATCTCTATTTCTTCGTTTATGAATTTTCTAATTTCTTATTTTCACATTTTCTTTTTCATCGTGTTCTACTTCTGTTTTGGGGTAAGGAAAATGGACTGTTTTGTTAGAATCAAATTTAATAGAATTCAACGTTTCTTTTTTATTTCTTTCGTCTGATACCGAATAGACAAAAAGGGGTTTATCAAAATGATCGCTACAAATTCTGGGGGGGTTGCAAATTTTGTGGTAAAAAAAAGAAAGGAAGGAAATTTATGTGTGGTTGTGAAATAAAATTTTTTTTTGGAAATTCAGGAATGGTTCTCTAAATATTTACTACTTTAATACTAATTTTAGCATTAGAATTTTTGTACAAATAGATTTTTATATAGTAATTTTTATTTTTTTTCTCATATTTTGCAACTATCATCGTAGTTTTGTTGTTTTTTTTTATTTGTTTAATCTTCTTTTTTTGTCAATAACAAAAAAAATTAATGCGGAAACATTTAATACAGCAGTTTAAAATTATTTTGTGATGCTCTTTTCTTGGACCAATTATAAATTGTTAGGGGAGGTTTTAGTTTTTTTTTTTAAACAAGAGAAAGTTTTTTAGGCATTACAAATCGTCACTAAAAATTACTTTATGCAGATTTTTTGTAGCCTAAAAGGGGGAAGGACTTTGTCAAATTGTAATATTTACAAGACTCTTTTTCAGTAAAATTAAATTTGTTCTTTTCCACCGCGACACTCTCGTTTTTTTGTTTTACTCTTTTACCTTCAGGTTTTGTGAAATGCTTCATTTTTTCCTTCTTCATCTTTAAATTATTACATCAAATATTTGAAAGGTGCTAAAATTACTTTTTTTTCTCGTTTTCTTCTCACTTTCATCTCCTCTCAATAATAAGGATTTTTCACCATAGATGTAATATTATTTTTTATATATATATTTTTATGTATAATAATTATATGTATTAACGACAGATTTTCTCCTTCTTTTCACTTATCTTACGAAAATTACCATTGTGATAATTAAAAAGAATCTCACCAATTACCACAGTGCATCTACTTTTTCATCGCCGTTCATTCTTTTCTTTCTTCTTTTTTTCATTTATATTATTTAATCTAAATACACAATTTTCTATCATTTTCCCCCCGACGGAAGAATATAGCATTTACTCAAAAAATTCCTTCCCATTTTCACATCGTCAATTCCGTAAAAATTTTCCTCTCAACTCCGCGCGCTCTAAACTTCAACCCACAATTCTGTATTTTTTAATATTTTCTCCTTTATCCTTTCCCTTTTTTTATGCACTATTTACTCGCTTTAAATCTCAATTACAACTAAAATTATCTCTTACTTATTCAATGTTATTTTCTACGCTAAGTGTATAGTTTTTTTTCTCCTTCACTTTTTTTCTTTCTTTCTTCCTTCTTTACTTCTTTCTTACAATCTCTAGAGTAGTAAATTCAAAAAAAAGAAGAAAAATATATATATAAAAAATATGTACTGAAAATCATTCAAAACATCAACATAATCCAATTGAGGAAAGTCATCCTCTTTGAAGACATCCTCAATTTGCCACATCTAAACTATTAATTATCGTATAGATCGTCAATATTGATCATTTTTGCAAAATGGATTATAATTCTGGCTGCTTACGGGTTGCGTTGCATCAAAAGAAGTAAAAAGTAAAATATGCTGATCTCCACTTGATCTCCAATCCGCGTGCGCACGATCAACATGTCAAATTTTTGCCTTCACAGACACTCTTTTTCTCCTCTCCGGTAATCCACTTTCACCCATTTTTATTCGTCTCCTCACGTTCCATTTTCTTCTCTTTTTTTTAATTATTCTCAATAATTATTCCTACAATGTAGAGGTGGTGGACGAAACACTGTGTGCGAATAGAGAAAATTAAAGAATCGGTCAAAATACAGCTCATTTATTCTCACACTGATGAGTGAATCGAAAACTATGGAAAGTCTTTAAAGAAAGCATTGATATCGCTTTGAAACTTGCCAAAATTTCCCTCAAAACACCTTCAAATCGTTCATTAAAGTGCTAATATTGCTCTGTAATAAATATTTTGTGAATGTTTCCCTTTTTTATTGGTATTTATAAGAATTTTTAACTGAAATATGGCAAAATTAATAGATAAATTGGAAATATTACATTCTAAAGTCTTTTTTTAATAGTCAAGAAAAAGATCTCGACAATTTTCTTAGAAAAAATGTACAACGTAAGCGATAAATAGACGACTTTTCATACTCTACGCCACAAGACATGAAATTTCTAACATTTGAACTTGTTTGGATAAGAATTTCTTTTTCATAGCTTTCAATTCACCCATCGACACTGGCAAACATACCTTATTAATCTTCCTTTTCTCAATCCCAATTTTCATTACCATCATCAATGTTCCAACTGTTGTTGTCACTCAGCATTCACGGAGGAATGAGCTAATGGACCTCTGAAGGCTCCGGCTTCGTGGCATGATGATTGCTGGGATCCGGAGCGCTCAGTGGCTGTGGAGAGACGAAGAAGGAGTTTAGCGCCAGTGGCTGGAGAGAGCCAAGACGTCGACACTCACCGATTTGCTCACAAGTCCGTGCTGGATTCCTGCTGGGGGAGCCGCCGTGACCGCAGCTACTGGTGGCGGCGGCGGCACCGTCTGGGGCGGAGGTACAGTTGGTGGAGCATGAGGTCCGGCGCTGTGGGGCGTCTCGTGTGGCGTTGTACTGTGAGCCTGCTGCAGACCGCCCGAGTAGTATCCACCATTGATGCCTAACGGAGAGAAATGGCAGTGAATAGCTGGACTTACTTCTCATCTTCTTATCATTCCAGCCACTCATCTCGGTCCCACATCTACAGCCCTGGCCGTCCGGCGGCACTCTTTTGGCCACGGCCAGAGCCACAAATTGCGAAAAAAAATATTCTCTTGCAAAAACAACAAACAATTTTCTCCACATCACACAACAAGAATTATTATCACAATCAATAAATAGACATTGCAAGAAAATATTTCCTTAACTTCTTCTCTATCAATCCCTTTCTTACCTTAAATCTAGATAATAATTTTATTCATCATTTACTTACACACTGTGAGCTCGTTAGTGCGCTATTTTTTTTTCACTTCAAGAAATATCACAGATTTTACTTCTAATTTAATTTTCCAATTCATCTTTTTTGTTTGTTTGTTTCTTCTTCTGTGGTAATCCATCATATGTTTTTGTACAACTCAATTTTATCCAAAAAAAACAGAAAAAATACAATCTTTTGTGCTTCCCTAAAGTGATTCCATCATCTATGCGAATTGACAATAACGACAAATAAAAACGGAAAGAAAAAAGTCGCAATAAAGGCAGAGACACGAGATCAAACTAATTTGAAAACAATAGAGACAATTTGAATTGCAAAAAGTGTTGAGACATGAAAAGGAACCATAAACAAATGTCTTGAGACCGCCTCAGCAAAAAACAAAAAAAAAACGGAATTCACAGTAATTAATTTAACAATTCAAACAGTTGTAATCATCCATTTCATGTTTAGCAACATTTCTTTTATATTAAAATTTTATTTTTCTCTATGATTAATTTTTTGTTTTGTACAAAAATTAATACAGGTTACAATTAGTATTTTTTTTCATCTATATTTTTTTCTCATCTTTTTTTTCTTTACCCTCTTTTGCAAATGAACGAAAAATTTTAAGAATTAAAACATTTCTCATTTCATTCATCTTGTTTTTTTTTCTTCATTTTTATCAATTAAATCAAATATATATAAATCAAATGTGTAAATAAGTCTATTGGAGGATTTTACTTCATCTTATTAACCCTTATTTCTTTTCATTTTTAAAAAATACATAATACTTTAAGGCGAAAATAAACGCGGATGATGAAATCAATTTAGTGATGTCTATTGTGTTATTATATTTATAATTTCACTTTAAGTTGTGATCACATGTTTTCTTAGATAAATCAATTTTTTTGTTCATTTTGTAAATCAAACTGGGATAAAGTTAAGGTCAAAGCTAAATCTGTCTAATTCTTTTTTTTTGGTATGTAAATAATTAACACAACGAGCTCACAAAATTGTCATAAAAATTATTTCCTTTCCTTTTTATTCATTATTATTTTCATCTTTTTCTTTTGAGCATTTTCTGTCTGTTTTTTTTTCTTTCTGGGTGAATATTTTTTTTGCAATGGAACTTTTCAAAAGAATGCAAAATACTCAATCTAAAGATTCCTTTTGTGTTTTTAGAAAAAACCATCACTCTTCTTCTATCATTTCATTAATCTTGAGGAGAGTTGATTTACAATAACAATACTCAAAATCAGATAATTTGAAATGATCAGAACAAAAAGATTATACCAGTGTTTACTTTCACCTTAAAAAGTAATTACATAATTTTTATGACAAAACAAAACCAATCAATCAATCTGATCAATGTGAAAATTCTACATTTCGTACTGCAACTAAAAATTACTTGTGTAATGTGATTAAACAGAAAAACAAATGGAAAACATTCTTTTAACACTCTGTGCAATGTTCTCTCATCCTCATTATCATCTCTGCAAATATTTAAGCATTCGTCACGGTCTTAAAAGAACATTTTTCATTATCATTACTACTTCCTCTCTCAACATAATATACTCCCAACTTTCACTTCGTCTTGCTCTCTCTATAAGCATCCTTTTTTCTTCCTTACTGGATTTGTGGGACATTTAACGTCCTCTACAATATTTTCTTCTTCTGCTTCATTTAAATCATTTTTATCAAGATGCAAATGCATCAATTTCATTGAAGATCATTTAATTGTGGAAAAAAGAAATTAATATTATTCAATCGCAAAAGCTGAATGACATTTTGCCTTTTTTTCTCCTTTCATTCAATTCATGGGGGGAAAAAAATTCATTTTCTTTTTTTTTTTTTTGAAGTAGAAATAACTAGAAAAAAAGTAAGTTTGACTTCAACAAGACTTGAATTTAAAAATTAATATTACAAATAAAATATTATACGTACTAATAAGAATAAAGTGTAATGTATGAACGTGTGGTGGATTGATTTCATTTAAAAAAAAGAAAGAAAGACACAAAAAATCATGAATTTTATCATCTCATAATTCGTACTCTTTTCTTTTCTCCTTTTGCAGATTGTACACAAGAATTTTAATTCATTAAATAATTCTTTTTTTTTAGATTCCTTGAATTTCTTCTTCTCCTTTCCTTGCAATTTGTACGTATCAAAACAACAATGGAACAACTTATTCTCTTTCGTATCTCTCTCATTTCTTTTCTTTTTTTTCATTTGTTTTATACAAAAAACAAAAAAATATTACTAAAAACTAATAATTTCTTTCTCATTGTTTTCTTCTTCTCTTCTTGAATTCAATTCGATGGTTTTTCTCTTTTATATTAGCGTAATAAACCCAGCACTGTTTCTCATGTCAATCGTGGGGAGCAAATAATCGACACTTTTCCTGCTATTTTTCTCAAAGAGTTTTCGCAAAAAAAAACAACCACAATTTTAAGAAAATGAGAAAGAAAGTAAATTATTAGGGGGAAAAACTTGTTATACATTTAAATCCTTGGTGGAATTAATTAGAGTTTACATTGAGAAACCCCAAATAAAAATGGAGTTTCCAAAGACGTTGAAGAAGTGTGGAAAAGAAAAGAACTAAAAAACTCTACGCTGAAAAAATAAACTTATTTCAGACATCAAAACCTACAAGAATTACAATGTCCTAATTGAAAAAAAAGAAATTCATAATTTTGCTGGCATTCTACACGCCTCATTCCTCACGCCAATTGTCAACGTTCTCTCTAATTGATTCCACCGTGACAATAAAAATCAACACTATATGGAGAAGAGGACTTATGACTATGTATGCCTTCGATTTCTACCTTCAGTGTAGCCTGCGGCGGCCGATGGGGCCCTCATAAAATACTCCTTGTTCACACAGTTCCGAAGACACTCTGGAATATTGCCCACTATTGCTCTCCTAATTTCCGTGGCTGCCATCTCTCTGAGTTCAGATGCGGAAGCTTCACTGTAAAAGGCGGCATGTGGCGTACAAAGTATATTTGGAGCGTCTTTGAGAACACCCTGCAAAACAATTGTTCACAATTAGATATTCACATAGACAAATTGCAAGAGAAAAAAATCTAGAAAAGAGTGGCAAAAGATGTGCATTTAATGTGTATATAGATATTATTGTCCATAATGTTCAGACCTGGAATACGTTATATGGCTCATTTTCGTGCACATCAAGTGCAGCTGCTCGGATTCTGCCTTGTTTGAGGGCTGACGCTAGCGCCTCATCATCCACCAGACCACCTCGTGCTGTATTCACCAAAAATGCACCTGGCCTCATCTGCAACACGAGAAATTTCATTTCATAACCCCCTCATAACCTTTCATCCAATTACGCGACACACACAAACGCACGCTTTGTGTGATTAATTACTGCAATTGGGGAAAATTGATAAACGAACCTGTTTGATGGTGAATTCATTGATTAAATGGTGATTGTGCTCGTTCAATGTGCAATGGAGTGAGACACAATCCGATTGGAAAAGTAAGTCTTGCAGGGTGTAAACTCGGGTCAAGCCAAGTGACTTCTCAATGCCATCGGGAAGATATGGATCATAGAAAATGACATTGAAGCCAAATCCTTTTGCACGTAAAGCCACTGCACTGCCAATTCTGCCCAGACCAACAATGCCCAGTGTATCTCCTCTGATCCTAGCGCATCCCTGCAAAAAACAAACACACAAACACACACATAAGATCACTCATAGGATTGCCAAGAGACACTTATCACAGATAGTTGTAGATAAGAAGAAGAAGTTGCTTCTTTTATGAATGGAAAATATACACACCGTGGCAGCTTCCCTAACTTGTTCTGGTCCAGTGAACTTTTTACCCTCTCGCACCATATTTGCCAGCCAATACGTTCTTCGGTACAGATTCAATATGAGACAGAGTGTCGTGTCTGCCACTTCTTCAACACCATAACCGGGAACATTGCACACAGCAATCCCCAATTCACCGGCCGCCTTCACGTCAATATTGTCCACACCGCTTCCGATGCGCACAATAATCCGGAGTGCTTTGAACTTTTCCAAATCCTCCTTTGTCAGGATGATTGTGTGCCACATGAGAGCACCCACGGCCTCATTCAACACCTGCAAATTCAACAGCAACATTAGGAAATCAGCAAAAATAGTGAAAGCAAATCGAGAAATGTAATCTCTTACCTTTTCATGTATTTCCGTTGTGCTCTGTGCATCGCAAAATGCGACAGTGGCCACATCCTTGAGAATTGGCATTTCAATGGAGCAATCTCTACCATCCAGTAGAGCCACGAGAGGTCTGGGCTGCATCGGTCCATTAGCAATTGGACCACGAACATCAATTCGTGGACGTTTTGGCAACATCATTTGTTTCTCCATCACTACCAAAAGGATCTTATCTTATGTGTGTGTGAAGCAGTTTGTTGGATTTTACGTAAAAACAGCTGTTTTCTCTTCTCCACACTTTCTCGAGCAATAATAAATTACACTATGCCTATTGTTGATTGTCATACAAATTCACATTTATATAGTTAATCTCTTCCCTCTTCCCAACTTATCCTTGAGGGTCGCGTCTGCTTAACCGCACACAAACACACACAGTCAGAACAACTTAGATGTTTGCGGATGAGTGGAAAAATAGGGGATGGAAAAAAAGTATTTCACAGTCACAAAATAAACACACTTTAAGGGAGAGTTTTCTCAACTTTACCTCCCTTCGTCACTCACTCCTTCTGCGAATGAACAAACACACAAGTCACTCTCCTTTACTTCACGATCTCCTCACGCTTCCCTTTATGATGCTCTCCTGTGTGTCTGTGCCAAGGAATTGTGGTGCAATGACGACAGACACAACAAAGTCAGGAATCAAAACCACTTCACAAATTTGACTGATTTGAATTCCCCCAACTTTAAGATTGCAAACTTTCTGCAATTTTACAACTGTTGGATTATCATCAACTAGGAGGGGTTATTTCCGACGAGCTGTACCCCTCATTCTGCTGCTTTTTGTGTCTGCAAGAAAAGAAAAGAAAAAAACAGACACAATTATTATTATTTTCTTTTATTCATCTCTGTCAATTTATTTCTTAACTTCTTTAGAATAGTCTCAATTGGATAGAGTCTCTTAAGTTTCAAATAATAGTACTGCATCTCATATATTTTGCCTCTCACTTTCTCTCGTTTGCATTCAAAAAGTTTAATCCATTTGCAAAGAACATCCAAAATACCAACACGAGTTTAATTTTATTATGGCAATTTTGCCATTTGTCTTACTCTAAATACAATTTTCAGTTGCAAAAAAACCCCCTAATTAGTGTGATGTCTAAAATATTAAATACCACACAAAATTAATCAACCTCATACTTTTCAAATTATTATTATTATTATTATTATTATTATATTTTAGTGAAGTGCCAGAGATAAAAAGGAATGCGGAAAGCGAGAGAAAAAAACTGTTTCAAAAAGACTAGAAATAAACTTGAACAAACTGGCGGATGGGAAAAGTCCTACGACAAAACATAACACTACGGAAAGTTCAATGATGTTTCAATACAGAAAGTGTGCTTCAAGGCTTCATAGCCACACAACTTTGCAACAACTTAGTCTCTGAAAACTCAGTTATATAACTCATTGTACAACTAAACACAAGCACACACACACACACAGACACACTCATAACACGAGAGTCCTGGAGGACGAGGTGATGGAAAAGGAGGAGAAAGTTGAAAACTTTTGCGTCCCCTCATCACCCACTGTTTCCCAACTTCTCACACCACCAATAATAATCCCTTCTCGCCATTCCCCACCTTCAGCCCCCTTGCGCACTCTCTTGTTTTCAACTCTCACCCTCGCTCTCTCTCTCTCTCTTACTCTCTCCTCTTCAGTAATTTTCAATCCCACACACATTTCCCACCCCCAGAAAGCTCATTCTCTATCATTTCAGCGGCAATGTGAATGCTGACTATGGCTCTGTTATAACTTAACAAGCTCTTCCGGCGAGCTTTCGTTTATGGCTATTTAAAACAGGATGAGGCAGCGAAATAGAGGATATTTAATCGCTTGATACAGTTCTCAAATTAAATACATCCTCGTAAAAGAAACCAAAGCACATAAATTTCATTACTATTGCAATAATAAAAAAGTAAAAACTTCTTTCCACGTGATTTACTATTCTCTGCCAATTTCCTCATATTATGTCAAAAAGAAAACATGTCTTCTCATGTGACGACACCATCAGGTACTCGTCGTCTTGAGAGACTTCAATTTAAAATGATTCTGATTCTGTCCCACTTCCTCTTTCCACCTCCTTGGCAATCCCACACCATCTTCGGGTCACATTCAGCGTAACATATGTTATCATCAAGAAGAGAAAAGTCCAAAAAGTGGAATTCACACACAACACTTGAAGAGTCAAAAACTGGGTGGATTATTTCACCCAAACACACACACACACACTCACACACTTTTCAGACTGTCTCTCCAAGAACAAAACTTTTCTCCGCAATATCACAATCCCTCTGCCACATTGGCTGACTGGCTTGGGGGTGCACACACCCTAGAGTCACATCGATATATGATTGGAGTGTGTATCCTAACATGCAGAGAAGTTGAAGACATAAGTGAAAATCCCAATATTATCACCATCTGTCTCGAGTAGATGGCACTACAAGTGTTGTATCTCCTTTAAAGATTCTCCCCCGGTTTCACAATTTTCTTAAATTGAACTTTACCCCCCGCCGCAAAAGAAAGTTTGGGTAAGGAAAGATTTTCCTATCCTCTGAGTATGAGAAATGGAGCAAGACACAGAGAGAGAGAGAGAGAGAGATAGAGAGTGAGAGAGAGAAGAAAAAACTTCTCAAATTTCCCTCCATCTACTATTTCTTGTCAATTTTAAGGACAAATGCTGGCAAATTACTTTGTCCTCTTTCATGTTACTGTTGTCTCTCTCGCTTAAGATGACTTTCCTTCAACTTTATGGCTTTCGATCCGCCCACAACAGTCTAATTTTATCGCTTTTGATGCCCCATTCCTTTTCCCTCTAACCACTCTTCTTCTTTTTCTTCTTCCTCCTCCTCTTCCACCCTCAAAACACACTATGCTGGCTGGCTGGCCTTCTTTCTCGACACTCTCTCTCTCTCTGACTCCAAACCATCACTGAAATAGTCCTGCGCCACATTCATTTCCCCAGTGGTGCTAAGCCAAGAATTAAATATGCATTAAATGAAAGTCACTTTTGGACTCACACATCAATATGTCGAAAGTGATAAGACAGCATTAAATAATTGACCATTTTCAATTTCACCGATTGCCGTGTGCTCGACGAAGTCGAGTGTAATAAATCAAATCGGAAATTATATTCATATGACTTGATGGATAAAGCCTTTTAATTACCTGATTAACTCAATATGATTACATTTCCTGACATCGCTCGCTTCCATTCTATGCACATTCTCAAGGTGCAATGAATTAACAATGGCACAACATTAGTCAATTCTCATTCCACACACAACATAACACTGTTCATAGTGTAATATCTAATGCCTCCACTCCATCCCTTCCTCATTGCACACACTGTCTCTTATCATTCTCCCTGACACCCGTGAAGGACACGAAATGGTCAACAACATGAGCTTATGAAAGGAGTGACAAGTCAAAAGGACTAAGAATATTTCTGCAAATCTGTGTTCCTGATGAGAAATCAGCAAACTTAGATGGTAAAGAATGATTAGATCCCACTTAAACCTCACCATAATCATGTTAAAATGCTGGAAATATTGCACTCAATGTTCTAAATTAAAGCCACTTCGGATTCTCTGAGTTTGCTGAGCATTATTATTATATTTATTATTATATCAAAGCGACTAAAATTCATAATCTCTTTACATTTCAGTGTAGTCCAGCCATCTCTCTCTCTCTGTATTACGTCCCCTTAGTCATCCACTTATGCGACTGCTAATTCATCACATTCCAGCTTGAATACCAAATACCAGATTAAATGGAACGTCAAGAGAGAATATTGCAAGAATCGCAAGAGTTTGGGAGGGTAACAAATCAAAATTCAATCGAAAGAGGTCACATTCAGAAGAGGACATTTCTCAGTTTTAAGCAATTGACATTATAAGACACATTATTTATCTCCATCTTCATCTATTGACCAGAACCAACTGAGAAATTTCGTACCATGTCAATTTAAATTAGCTTAAATCAATCAGCACAGAAACAACACTCAATGTTTTTTGGTATTTCAAATTGAAATATATGAAAATAATCCTGAAATTAGGTGTTGGAAAATGCACAAGAGTATTATTATAAATTCCTGTACTACACACACTGCACAAGAGTTGAAGTTCTATTATTATGTTTTCATCCCCATATATTATATATATGTCTGTGCATGTGTATATAGTTATAGCAAAATGAGACAAGCAAGAGCACCCGGAGAATTTTCACCCTCTTGCCCACTCTCTCGAGCGCAGCCGGCAAAGTATAACTCAGAACAGTATAAAAGTTTTTCTCTCGCCAACCCCAAAAACTTGTATCAACTCATTCCTTCCCTCAACTTTCCTGTTTTTGTGTGAACTTCGGGCACACACTCAAACACACACACACACAGCGACACAGAGTAGCAATATGGAATCGATATAAGCATGTCCATGAGTAAATGTTTCCCAGTATACAAAGTTCACTGAATAAGTTTTCCGTGCGCACTCCGACGGTGGCCATCGTCTGCAAAAAGCTTCCAGAACTTTTTCCTATCCTCTTCACTCTCACTGTTGGCAATTGAAAAGTGTGAACAAGACAGCGAATGAACTCCATTGACTCGGAGAAAATGCCATGCGAATGAAATTGTATACACAACATGATATATATCTATATATCATCTAAAATTGTATAATATCGAATTGTAAACTTTTCCCCTTTCCACACAGGACGACTTTTCACAAAGTTTCAGCCCTTGCAAAAGTATGGAAAACAATAATAAAACACATCACTTCGTCGGAGAGTGTATCGATGATGAAAAGTGGAATCCTCTCTTCACTCAATCTTAACTCGCCTATGCATTTTCCAAAAACTTTGGGGAATGAGATTGAATTTAATTATCTCTTCTTATCATTCAAGGCAGGAAATATAAATTAAAACGACTATTATGTCAAGAAAATTGTCCAAATTCTCCAGCCATTCAGACATGTGTGGTAATCGCATATGTGGTAATAATATTCATTTTCCTTGATGTGTATATCACTTATGGAACTTGTGCTCCTGTAATTTCAAACGACATGCAATTCATTCCGGAGGGTTTTTGATTTCATCCTAGAAGACTGAATTCACCTTCTGTACATCGCAATATAAACAAAACAACTCACACTCAATGTATACACAATGCTATTTATGGATATGTAATATAGGTTTTGTGCTGTGTGCGCACGGAGAAATTTCTTTCACTCACTCATGCCCTTATGAATAAGTTAATGAGATAAGTTGAAAAGCTACTTTGACAACAACTACCATCGACACAATATACAGCGCGTCACCTTTACATCTCGCAGTCTTTTCTATGACAAACTTTTACGCATCTTCCCAACCATAATGTAATGTTTCAAACCATATCATAAATTCACCTCCAAAGTCTCAGCATTTCATACTTTATCTCCATTCCCAACAAAACATGTTCACCACTGTCACAACTAGAGACTCGCAGATACATTTTGATGGAATTACATGTAATGTGAAGAAAGTATAGTTGAAATGGCAAGACTTTTCTTTCATCCCTTTTGTCATACGTTATTTTATGTCTGATTGTCACCCTCACAACATTCCCACACACACAGCAGCCTTTCTCCCCATCGCGTCTCATCATTCGTCGCCTTCACGGCATCTAAATGAAAATCAAGGTAATACATAACGTGAAATAATTTGTACTCTATATGTACACTTACATGTATTACATGCTCCCCAAAAACAGTCAAGCACCATCCATTTTGCACATATTCGACGTGCAAAGTCAAATATAT